GCCCTCGCTGCCTTCCCCTCCGCAGAGGTGCAGACCCGCCGGGCCGGCTCGCCCCGCCCCTGCCGCCGGGCCCCGCCCCCGCCGGTCCACACTCGGGGCGGAGGGCGGGGGCCGGCGGTGCGGCGAGGTCGGCGCGCAGCTCCGGCCGCTGGTCCCTCCGGCTCGTCCACGCTGAGCCGGCCCAGTCCGGGCTGCAGCCATGGTAAGGCCGGGGGGCGGGGGGAAGGGTGGGGCTGGGGCGCGGGGCCTGCCACTCCCGGGCGGCTCGCGGGGACCCGCGGCGCCGCAGCCCTGATGTGCCGCCGGGCGGGAGGCGCTGTCGCCGGCCGTGGGCATAGGCAGGCGCTGCTCTGTCGCCGTTGTTTCCAAGTTTCCATTCCTGATCTGAGCGGCTGGAAGCGGACCCCGACCCCCGGGGTGCTGCCCGTGTTGTTGGATGAAGGGGTGGGTCCGTGGTGTGGGGTGCGCTGGCTGATAAGCGCATGCTTTGCTGGGGAGGGCGCGTCAGCGATAAGGCGAGGTGAGCGTCCCCGCCCTTGCTTGGGTCAGCTGTTACCTGGGGGACCCCTCCGCACCCAGCTTTCCTAAGCTCGGGAGGCCAGCACCAACTTCCTTTGGAAAACACACAGAGGAGGCCCCCCCAACAGTTCCTGCCTCTTCAAGAGGGGCGATGAGCCTCTTGGGCCCTCCTTCCCACAGCCTGGCAAGGGGCAGGCGGCGTGTGAGCCCTCTGCCCCACAGGGCCTTCTGCCCAGACTCCTGAGAGAGGGAAGCCCAGCCCACCATCTATCTACTGTGCGGGGTCAGCTCTATCCCTTTACTTCTGAGAGAGAAACCAAGGGGAAGCTTCCTCCTGCAGCATCCTACACGCGCCCTCCCCCTTCCAAACCAGGTCCCTCTGCAGTGGTGGGGGGTGGGGGTGGGAGGAACTCATTCCTGCCACCTGCCTGTAGTGGGAGGAGAAACAGTAGCCCCAGCCAGCTTCCCCGGAGGCCCCCAGGTAGGAAGTTTTGACGTTTGGCCAGCTCTCCTCCTGCCACTGTTGCCAGAGCCTGCCTATGCCAGGTGTCAGGGCCTCAGGCCCCGTGCCAGCTTCCCCTCCCAGGCTGGAAGCCCCCCAGCCTTTGCCTTCTGCCTTGGGAGGCACAGGCTGTTCACAGCAGGAGGAGGTCTGTGGCCAGCCTGTGGGGCAGGATGTTGGCCGTGGGCAGCCTACAGGAGGGAGCTCCCTGCGCCTTGTGGAATCAGAAGTTTCTGGGTCTGGAAAGGCCAACCTTTTGGGCTCTTGTGTCTCAAGCTGTGTCTAGGCGGAGGCCCAAGTCTTGGCCAGGAAGTCTTGGTGACCCTGTGACTTTCCCCAAAGGGGAGTTCCTGGGAGAGGCCAACTGGTGTCAGTCTTCATCCCTGCCTCCATCCTTCTCCCCACTCGGGGACGGACAGACGGATTGTTCCAGAGATGGAAGCCTGGGGGAAGCACTGATTGTCCCCAGTGCCAAGGGCAGCAGAAGCCAAGAGGGGCTTTTTCCGCCACACACCAAGTTCAGTTCAGCTGAGGTCTTGGTGCTTTCAGCTTGGCTGAGGCCACCCTTTCCCCCATCCCACCCCACCACCACCACAGTCCTCAGCCTCAGGCCCCCCTCACCCCCCCCTCAAGCCAGCCCAGTCCTTAGACTGACAGGATGGAGTCCAACCAGCCTCCTCTTGTGAGGGTCCTTTTCTGAAAGGAGATCAGTGGGGCTACTCCCCAGCCCAGAAGCCCCAGGGGGTTTAATTTGCATGCACAAAGGACATTAATAACCACCCTGAGATTTTGGATGCACCGTGTCTCTCTCTGGGTTCAAATCAGTATGAGGATCTCACCTGGGACTGCTTTCTCTCCCCAGCCTTCCTGGGCGTCAAGGAAGGGCCATTCACAACTGGATATTAAGGCCCTGAAACTAAAACACTATTCAAAATCACAAAGGGTGTTTCTGGCCAAACCAGAAACTCTGGGCTCCTGACTCCTAGTCAAGTGCTCCCTCTGCACACTCCCAGCCAGGCCTCTCAATCTGTCTCCCACCTGATTGTCCACTTTAAAGCCCCTCAGAGACCAAGGGCTCGCAGTTGCCCCGCTGACTCTGCCAGAGATGGAGCGACACATGTCCCAAAGGGTATCTTTAGGTGGGAGGAGCCCTCCGGGGCGCTCTGCAGGGAAATCTAGGTGCCGATTTCTGAAGATAGTGGGGTTCTCTGCTGGGAAAACACGAAGGGGCACTTGGGAAGAAGACTGGATCCACTTCCATGAGAACCTATGACCAGGGGATTCTAGGACCCCTCCCCCCTACTTCAGTGCTGCTTAAAGTTAAGATGAAAGAGAGAGATTGGAATCTTTTGGGAGCGGGGTCTCCTGGCTAGCCAGCCCCATGTACATACAGGCCAGGTCACCTTGGGGATAAAGCTCACGACCCTCTGACCAGGTCTCAGTGTCCTTGGAGAGGTCAAGTAGATCGAGAACCTGTGCTGCAGACAGGCTTGGGAGGCTGGTGCTGTGCCCACCGGGGTAAGCAGCCGGCAGGCATCATGGGGCAGCCAATCAGAGGAGGAGGGAACTGCAGAGAAAGCCAGCCATCCTGCTGCAGCTGAGCTGTCCTTGGAGGGTGGGAGCCAAGGGAAGGGGAGGACGAGGGGGTGGGGAAGGACATTCCACAGGCTTTTTTGGCCCCTGACAGAGACAGGGGGGTTACATAGAAAGGGGAAGGAGCAAGCCAGGGCACAGGATTGCAACAAGAGCATCAAGACCAGGCTGTGTCTGTGTGTGAGGAACTTTGCCCGGCCGATAAAATTAGACCTAGAGCTTGCCAACAGGGAGCTCGAAGCGTGGGACATGGACCGTTCAGTGGGATGTCAAGGCAGCTCTGTCTCTGAGGACAGGACTGAAGCTGGGGTAAGGTACTGTTCGGGGAGTTGGGTGGACCTGACCCGTCTTCCCCCTGCCTTGTCTGGGCTTGGGGCTCCAAGTCAGAAAATGATATTTGGTCATGGGCAGAGCGGGGAGGGGACCCTGGTGTCCTGACTCCTTGTCTAGAGCCCCCGTGGGCCCCTCCCTGTTGACCAGCAGCCCAGGCTGGCCGGGAGAATGGTGCTGGGTTCCTGCAGGCTCCGTTGGGAGAGAGTGGGGTGGGGGTCTCTATGGGTGCCTTCCCTCTCTCTTCCCTGCTCAGCACCCTGGGGAAACCAGGGGGAGCACAGTCCTCTCCCATCTTTCATCTGACGCCCAGACCAACGGCTGGGCCACCGGGAGGTTGTACAAGGGGCAGGATTTCCTGGAATTCCCCAGACTTTATAGCTGTCGGAAAACAAGACCTGCTCCTCCTCCCTGCTACCTCTCGCCCCAGCTCCTCTCTATTGCTATTTCATTCATCATCCATCCAAGCTGGGACACTTCTGAGAGTGGAATGGGGCACAGTTAGTCACTGGACAACAAACATAAACTGGGATGTGTGGTCAGGCCACTGGACCCTACAGATAATAGGGGTGGGAAAAGCCTATAAGGTCAGGCTTTGCCTCAGGACAGCCTCTTCTGGCCAGTAAGCCCCTGCATGCTGGTTCCAGTTTCAGGCTCAAGGGCCTCCTTTTCTCCCCTGTCCATGCCCCCGGAGACTATGGCTACAAGCAGGTGTCGGGGGACTCTGGAGGCGACAGCCTAGAAATCGCTCTGAGGGGACTTTTCCCTCTAGCCTCTCTCTCTCAGCCCCCCCCCCCCAACCCCCGCAGAAACCTAGCAGCGGGTAAGTCCTCACCCTCTGCCTTTCCCTTTGTCAAATGGGGACCTGCAGGAAGGCTGTGGCCACCGCAGTCCAGGGTAGCCCCCACTGGCATGGCCATCCTTTGTCCTGGGTCAGCCTCTGAAGCCAGCCCTTGTCCATTGTCTCGGGATGGCACGTGGCTATTGTGAGGCAGAGCTGAGCCCGGCACGGCCAGGCACCCGACCAAGGAGAGAGGAAGCTTTCGTGTCTAGAGCTGAGGTGAGAGGGAGGGGAGTGGCCTCCCTCCTAAGCTGGTGCTGGTCTCTGCAGCGGAACCGGCCATCCTCTGCTCATCATCCCTGTGGTTCCTCTTTCAGCCCAGATGCCCTCTTGCATTGCTGGGTAAAGCTCAGCTCCAGGCACAGGTGACAAAAGGCAACTGAGCGGTGTTTCCCCCTCTGTGTCCCTCACATTTGCAATCCGAGTGTCCTCCCATCCAGCATCGCCTGGTCCCTCCTAGATCCCCTCCATGCACCCACAGCATCTGCCGGCAGGTGTTTCCTTCTCCCCCGGAGCCCAGGCTCAGGCTCTGGTGCGACTCATGGTCTGGAATAAGAGGCAGTCGGGTCAGCTCTCCTGGGTTCTGGGCAGTGAGCTCTGGGAGTGAGCACTCCCAGCGGAGCCTGCTTGTCAGTCCCCAAGGTCCCTGACCTGCAGTGGCAGGAGGCTGGGAGCTCCCTGCTGGTCCTTGAGGTATGGCTGGCAGCTCCCTTCTCTCCTCCCTTCTTGCCTCTGCCCCTCTGACTCTAGGCCCTCTCCTTGAATCCTGTGCCACATTCTCCTCTCAGCTCTGATGCCTCTGTCGGCTCCCCTTAGTCAGTCTGACTCTCTGGCCTTTGGGGGGACTCTCTGACCCTGGGCTTGGTCTGACCCCCAGGATGGCAGCCTCAACCAGCACCTGGTTGAGCGGGGACTTCAGGACTGGAGCTACTCAGTTCTCAAGAGCCCTGGCCAGGCTTCAGGGCTGCCGGGAGTTGCTCCTGGACCCTGGGGCCTCTCCTGGCATTTCAGACCTGTCTGTGAACAGGTGAGGGAGGGAGGGATGGTGACTACTTCCTCTGGCTTGGTGGCTGCTTTGCCTTTTAACCACAAGCACTTTCCTCTCTCCCTCTTGCCTTCTCCTGTCTTCCTCCTTCATTCTTCCTTTCCTGCCACCTACCCACCTATCCAACCCCACCCCACTCCACCCCACCCCACCCCACCCCCAAACCCCAGATCAAGCGCTTCCTGGAGGAATCCGATGATATAAATCTGAACAAGTTCGTGAAGGATTTCCCAGGAGATGAAAGCGGCCACCAACCAGAGGCCAAGACCTGGGCGTCCAGGCCCCAAGTGCCGGAGCCCAGGCCCCAAGTGCCGGAGCCCAGGCCCCAGGCCCCGGACCTCTACGAAGATGACCTGGATTTGAAAACCTCCATGTGGCCCCACCCCTCTGACAGCCAGCAGTACTACTCTGCCTCAGCCCCTCTCAGCCCCTCAGCCTCAGCCCGGCCCCACAGCCCGTGGGGCAAGCTTGATCCCTATGACTCCTGTGAGGTAGAGCCACCAGTCCTGCCCTTACTTTTCAATGGGTGGTGCAGGGAGACACGGGGAGGGAGCAGCGAGAGCCTGGTGTGAGCGCGTGCATGTGCGTGTGTGCACACACGTTCATGCATGTTGAGCTGGGGCTTCTCTCTGTCCTGTGTTGGCCCCAATGTGCATTGAGAACTGATGGTCTCAGTAGGATCAGGAGCCCAGCTGGTGGAGTCTGGCCCTGCTCCTCTAAGGCTGGGCAAAGTCTGAGGAGGGGGGGAGAAGGCCTGTGTGAGGTCCTGGGGCCCTTCCTGCCTCTCGCTCTCCCTGATCCACCCCCATCTCCCTGACACTAGGATGACAAGGAGTACGTGGGCTTTGCGACCCTCCCCAATCAAGTTCACCGCAAATCCGTGAAGAAAGGCTTTGACTTCACCCTCATGGTGGCAGGTAAAGTGGGGGCCGGGCTGGGCTGGGCTGGAGTTTTTCAGGTGGGGATGGTATGTACTGAATGTGGTAGGGAAGGAGAAAGCAGCAAGCGGCTGTCCCTTTTTTGCAAAATAGCTAGGAGCCATGGGTGCCCAAAACTGAGCTCGGGGTAAAGCGGTACAAAGAACACTTCACCGACAGGTTTCTTTCATTTGCCCTTTTCTGGGGGACCTTGGGCAGTCACTGACCCTCCCTAGGCCTCATTCAAACGAGAAGCTGTTCTCTGTTTCCTTTCGGCTCTGAAATGCTACGGTTTGGTCCACCTCTTCCCAATTAAATAAGCAGCAGCTCCCCTCACACCTTGGACTAAGCGGGGGGTTGCCTCTTTGCTACAGAGCTCATCTTCTGACTTGGTACTTCTGTCCTCTCGCCCCCATCAGGAGAATCTGGCCTGGGGAAATCCACTCTCGTCAACAGCCTCTTCCTCACGGATCTCTACAAGGACCGGAAACTCCTCAGCGCTGAAGGTAAGGAAGCCAGGGAGCATGACGACAGGGAGGCCGACCTGACTTAGGAAAACAAACTCATTCCAGTGTCTGGGGGATGGGGCCTTCCCCGGCCCACAGGAAACCACGGCTCCCAGACTGACAGCATCTCTCCACAGGCCTATCTAGCCTGGCAGCCCACCAGCCAGCTCCCTAAAGATTTGGGTGCCGAGGCAGGGCAGGGACCAGAATCCTGCCCTTTGAGTGAGGCTCTGACCCCCAAAGGATTCCAGGAATCCAAGAAAAGAGCAGAGAGCAGCGAGAGGCTGGGCCAGAGCCAACAGCCACCGGCATTTCCTGTGTTGGGAAATGTGCTCCTTGCTGGTTCCCAGAGAACAGGCCCCCAGCAGCTTCGGGGTAGGAAGGGGGGTAGTGTGGACGAGGCAGTCTGAGCAGCCAAGCTGGTTGGGGTGGGCAGTATCCTGACGGGGCAGGTCCTTGCCCTGGCCTCAGTTTCCCCCTTCTCCAGAGCGGATCATGCAAACTGTGGAGATCACTAAGCATGCAGTAGACATAGAAGAGAAGGGCGTGAAGCTGCGGCTCACCATTGTGGACACACCAGGTTTCGGGGATGCAGTCAACAACACAGAGTGGTATGTCTGACCAAGCACAACCCCAGCTGCCTCCCCACCTATCACCTTTTCCATTCACAGCCCCAGGTGCACACATAGGCACAGACGTATTCAAAGTTGTCAGGAGGAAGAGGTTTGTGACCTTGAGCACACCATGGCTCCTTTCTGGAAGCTGTCTCTGTACAGTGAGAGGGAAAGCATTGGAATAGATGATCTCTAATGTTCCTTCTGACTCTGACCTGTCATTCTATAACGGGAGTGAGGACAAGATAAGAAAGAAGAGCCTCAAACAAGCAAACACATGTGAAAACATGTAGCACAGGGCCTGGCACATAGTAAGTGCTCAATAAATGTCACCCTACCTTCTTCTTTTCCTTTTACAGCAACACTTTAGGTGCCACAAACGAGTGTTATTAAAGGGGTGAGAGTGAAATGGAGGGAGGAGTAACTGGGAGAAACAGGCGACAAAGGGGGAAAGTGGAACTTTGTCTTAACTCCAGGCACACACTAGGCTACTAGCTAAGAGAAAGGGTGGCTTTGCCATACCACCCTCTTCCCCCATCCTCCCTGCTTTTTTTTTTTTCTTCTTTTTTTTTTTCTTCTTTTTTCAGCAACTGGAGGGATAATGGTCAGATCTGAGTGAGTAGATAGGAGAAGAAGAATGAATGATAAAGACAGGAGAAAGGGTGGTGCCTGTAATGACGATGTTAGACACAATAGTGCTAAGACCTCTGGACGGAGTGTTCAAATCTTGCACAGTTTTGAGCAAATAACTGCATTCCTACTTCTTCCATTGAAAAACACGGGCCTTTACACCTCAACCAGTTGATCTGAAAATCACCTAGAATGATCTGAAAATCACCTTCAATGTAAATGTACATTGAAACCTGTAAAGGGCTGTTTACATTATACTCATGAATTTTGAGATGATAATTGCAGGACCAGTGCAAAATTAAAATGTGGGGCCCCTTGTTCAAAATTATTAAGAATTTCTAGATGGCTACAGAGAATCAAACCAGTGCGCCTCCCCCCACCAACCCCCAAATGACTCCACAGGTTGCACACCCATGCAGCTGACCCTGGATAATCACCTCACAGACTAATCAGACCCTTACAGGCCTTTCTGTGCTCTGAACCTTCATTACTTTCTTCATCATCACAGCATGGACTTTGACTCAGCACACTGGTTCATCTTCGGTTTCATAGCCTAAGCCTTGAGGGAAGGGCCATTTCTTACATTCTTCCCACATCAATGCTAGTACATGTTTTGTGGTCTCCACAAATATTCCTGTTAGATTGAGGTGGCCTCCATGTCAACATTACTCTTCCTGCTCTAGGAATATGTCTCAGCAAACTGGGCTTGGCCTGCAACTCTAGCTCCAACCAACACCTGGTTCCGACTGTACCATTCCCTCCTCTTATTGTCTATAATAATATTGTACTTGCCTGGCATCTCCTAGTTGACTGTGCTTCTCCACCTATACTCATTTAGTCAACCAGCAAGAACTTGTTGAACATATACTAGGTGTCCAGCCTGTGTTGAGCATTTTAAGGGATAAAATGTCTAACACAGGCTGGACACCTAGTATATGAATGATCACCTAGTATATGAATGATCCTTGTCCCTGAAAGGCTCGTAGTCTAGTGGCAGTGGCAGTGGCAGTGGAGAGTGGGGAGCAGTAGTTCTCTAATAAGTGTCAGTTGGGTAACAAATTAGTAAATGGGTCAAGCAGTGTAGTGATAAACACACTGAGCTGAAAATCAGAAAGCCAGGGACCCAGTTGGGTAGAGAATTTCCCAGCAAAGGTGATCAGAATCGGATTCAACTAGACAAAAGAAGAGAAAGTACTAGAAAATTGAGGTTCTTGAATCTATATCTATAGCTATCTATAGCTATCTATCAATTTATATGTGCTCCCTTTCTCTTTACCACAGAGTGAGATTATATAATCTCTATACTATATATATTTAAGAATCTCAGTTTTTCTATCTATCAATTTATCTATCTATCTATCTATCATCTATCTCACTGTGTGGTGAAGAGAAGAGGAGAGTGTGCATTGGTATAATCAAAGGAGACTTGGTGGAAAAGATGGTTCTTGGACATGGCCTTAGGATGGAGTGGGTTTGAAGAGGTGGAGGAGAAGGTGGAACCAAATGAACAAAGGCTCTGAGGCTGGACCATGAACCTGACTTAGGGTTGCCTTGCTTTTCCCCAATTGCTTTGTCACCTGGGCTCTTGTTCTCCCATCAAACTAGTATTTCTTGAACTCCATCTCTGTGCTTAGCCTGTTTTCTGTCAGGACATTTGATGCACTCCTCCCATCAGGTATCTCCCTGAAGAAGTAGTGAAACAAGCCAGGGAATAACCAAGTCTTGAAAACACTGCTCAGGGTGGGGGCTACTCTGCAGCCCTAGAGCTCACTAGGCAGCCCCCACTCCTACAATTTCTCTGCTTGTCTGTCCCTGCCCCAGCTGGAAGCCTGTGGCAGAATACATCGACCAGCAGTTTGAGCAGTATTTCCGAGACGAGAGTGGCCTGAACCGCAAGAACATCCAAGACAACAGGGTGCACTGCTGCCTGTACTTCATCTCACCCTTCGGCCACGGGTATGGTCCGAGCCTGAGGCTCCTGACACCACCGGGTACTGCCAAGGGAATAGGCCAAGAGCACCAGGGGCAGGGCTGCCACAAGCAGGTGGTCACAGATTCCTGTTCCCCAGGCTCCGGCCACTGGATGTTGAATTCATGAGGGCCCTGCATCAGCGGGTCAACATCGTGCCTATCTTGGCTAAGGCGGACACACTGACACCTTCTGAAGTGGAGCACAAGAAATCCAAAGTGAGGGAAGCTGGTGCAGGGAGGGGAGCAGGTGGGCTTCTGGAGAGGATGGGGTCCCCAGAACTGTGGGCCCCTCATGTGTTTGCCAGATCCGGGAGGAGATAGAGCACTTTGGAATCAAGATCTACCAGTTCCCAGACTGTGACTCTGATGAGGATGAGGACTTCAAATTACAGGACCAAGCCCTAAAGGTGTGGCCACCCCAGGCATCCCTCTCCCATCTTTTTTCTTCTGGACAGAACAAAGAAATAGAATTCTATGTAAGGGTGGGTTGTCTGGGGTGGGAGAGGACCCTGGTTTCCTAGAGAGGAACAGAGATGAAGACAGGTGGAAAGGAACAGGTGAGAATGGGGGCGAGGGGTTGACAGACCCCTCCAAACTTCTTCCAGGAAAGCATCCCATTTGCTGTCATTGGCAGCAACACTGTGGTAGAAGCCAGAGGGCGACGAGTCAGGGGCCGTCTCTACCCTTGGGGCATCGTGGAAGGTAAAGCACGGAGCTTGTGACCAGGGAATCTCCTTGCCCTCAGTGACTCTCCCCTCACCTTGCCCCTGGCTGACCCCTAGCCTTGCTATGCAGTGGAAAACCCAGGGCACTGCGACTTTGTGAAGCTGAGGACAATGCTGGTGCGTACTCACATGCAGGACTTGAAGGATGTGACGCGAGAGACACACTATGAGAACTACCGGGCACAGTGTATCCAGAGCATGACCCGCCTGGTGGTGAAAGAACGGAATCGCAAGTATGGTCAAAAGCCAGGGGGGGAATCCCAAGCACAACTTTGGATGAGACTGAGCCTTTCCTCTTCTACAACACCTCAATCCAAGCAGGTGTTGGGGTCCCCTTGGCCTTACCGAGCCCCCTTTCCCTTTCCCTTAGCAAATTGACTCGAGAGAGTGGTACCGACTTCCCCATCCCCACTGTCCCACCAGGGACAGATCCAGACACTGAAAGGCTGATTCGTGAGAAAGATGAGGAGGTGAGAGCAGTATGGGGCTGACAGCCTGGGAGGTCCCCTGCTTGATCAGAAACCTTAGTATCTCTTGGTTTGGGAATAGGGAGGTCCCTGGCCCTTAAGTATATCTGTGTCCTGCATTGGTCGATTAGTGGTTCTACCCAGGGTCTCTACTGCAACCCAGGGCTATTCCTGGCTCAAGGGATCAGAGCTTGGGAACACTTCCCTCACACGATAGGACTCTCTAAAAGTGCCCGTTTTGATGCAATGTGCCTGTTCTAGCTGCGGCGGATGCAGGAGATGCTGCACAAAATCCAAAGACAGATGAAGGAGACCCATTAGCTGACTGTCAGCCCTGGATATTTAAATCTCCTCCTCTTCGTTTTGCCCACGCCGGCCCCTCCCAGCACCAGCTCTGCTCAGGCCCCTGCAGCTACTGCCACTTCGCCTTACATCCCTGCTGCCACTCAGAGACTCAGAGGAAATAAAATTTAACAAATATATAGTGGCTTCCTGTGTCACGGTCTGTGTCTTTACCACCTCCTGGAGATCAAGTAGATCCTAGACCCAGTTTTGACAGGCTTCTGGAGGAGGGTGCTGGATTATGGCTCCTAGTAGGGAAGGTGTGTGTGTGTGTGTGGTGGGGAGGGGGGGAGTAGGGTAAATTTCCTCTCCCATGACAGGTTTCAGTCCTTGCCTAGAATAGTCTAGGCCCCCCCCCCCCTTTTTTTTTCTTACTCACCATTATCTATCCTGCCTCTCATATCTGGGCCTGGGCCTCTCCATTTTTTGCACATGTAGTTCTATAGAGTTTTGGATCTGGTATCTGCCTTTAGGAAAACATGATATTAACTGCACGCAGCCTCTCACCTTCCCGTTTCCCCTGATTTGGGGAAAGGGACATACAGAGTTCCGCTCCGTACTCTAGGAAGCCTGTGACAGAGCGCCGAACGAATGTTGGAACCTCTGTAATCACCAAACACTTCTGTAAATGCTGGGAATGAACCAAGAAGCCACTGACCTGGAAACATTTAACAAATATTTATTAAGCATCTCCTAGGATGCAGACACTGTTTTAGACCCAGGCAAGGTTCCCGTTCTCCTGGAATTTACTAACTGTAGTAAAAGTCCCAGCGTTCTATAAACAGACACATCAAAACATTTTGGCTCCAGGACCTGGCATTAAATAAAGCACTCGGGCCCACTCCAAACTCAAGCGATCTGTTGAGAATCTGAATCAACAACTGTTCTCCATCTCTGTCAGGAGGAGGATATAGTGGTATCCGCAGCCAGGACGCCCTCCAGCGGCCACCCTGCAGCCTGCTGTCTGGCCTGGCTCCCCAGGAGAGGAAAGGGAGGAGCGAAGAGCTTGGTCCTCGGGGTAGTCCTAGTCACCACTCCCAGCACAGACTAGGCGGTGGCAGCCTGCTCATGGCAGTCTCAGATCCGGATTTCCTCTCTCAGATCTTGACTCAGGGCTGACGGAGCCACGCAGGTCGTGAAGGACGGCAGGGCAGGTTCGCCGATGGGAAGTGAGGGTGAATACGCAGAAGAGGGAAAACCCTCCCGCCGCCGCAGGCGGAGAAGAGAGAGAGACGGAGCCCTGGGCCTAGACTTCCTTCTGCTCTTAGCCTGCGGGGGTCTCTTCTTCCTTTCCGCTTTGGGACGGGATGACCGCTGCGAAACTAGAATGAGGTGGGACAGGAAGCCTTCCTGAGAAATATTCCCAAGGAGAAATCGTCACCGGAAGTGACTGCAAAGGCCTGTGACCCTGCAAGGCCCCGCCTTCCATTGCGCTACCAGTAGGCGACCAGCCTCTCCTACTTCCGGCCCCTGGAGCCTTAGCCAGCAGCCCCGCTTTTGTTGCTTTCCCATTGGCTGCCGCAGGGACGCGCTGTGATTTCCCATTGGTCGCATCTATTCTCCAGTACCGCGTCTCATCCCTCCAGGTACAGCCTTGTCTTCGGGCACCCGATAGGGCGAGGTTGGGAGGGCGTCTGCCTAATCTGGCCAATGAGCGGCGTGAAGAGTGAGGGCGGTGGCTGCGTGGTGAAGACGGGGCGGGACTTGAGGTGGCGATTGGCCAGGGCGGGTACAGACGAGGGATACGATTGGTTGGGGAGAGGGGCACCGTGGTGGGTTGTAGCTGCGCGGCCTCGGCAGCTGCGGGGAGACGGAAGTGGTGCGAGCGCGGCCTCGGAGGGTCGGGCGGACGCCGCCTGGGTGAGTCACCGTGCCCCGTGCACTGTCTGTCTGGGATCCGCAAGGACCACGTCTTACCCGGCTCCGCCCCGACCCCACCGGCTTCGTGAGCCCCGCCCTCTGTCATTCGGGGCTCCGCCTCCGGGCCTTCTAGGCTCCGCCCCTGGAACCTGGGCACCTGGGCTCCCCTGCCACCCTGGCCCGCCTCCCCCCCACTCCCTTAGAGCTAGATCCCTTACGTCTAGGAACCCTGGGCCTCCCAGGCTTGGTCCACGTTTCTCCCTCCGTTTCCCTGAGGCTGCGTGCCAGTGGGCGGTGAGGCAGCACCTTTGGCTCGCCGCTTGCTGGCTGTCCCATGAGGAAGCGTGGGCTGTGATCAGGGGAGTGGGCAGGAATGCAGACGGAGGCTTTTATCCTGCACCCCTTGGAAGAAGCGCTTAGACTGCCCGAGCTCAGATAGCAGGCGTGAAAGAAACTGTCAGTGAAGCCGGGCCTTGTGCTCTAAGTGGGCCAAGGAGGCTCATCTGAAATTTGTTGCTTGTGCCCACTTAGCAGGTATTGACTCTGAGGCCTGATTCTATCCTCATTGTGGGCCTCCTCTCCCTTGCTAACCCACTTAGTGTCAAGTAACTCAGCAGGCCCTGGGCAGCTCTGCTGCCTTCTGATCACAGGTTGTGGTCCCCTCCCTCTGTCCTCTGCCTTGGACTCTGCCCCGAGTTGGACAGGTCAGGTGGGTACTACTCCCAGACTCAGAGGCCGGCAGAGCATTCCTGTGGATTCCTGTCCCCACCAGGGCCAGAAGCGAGTCCTGGCTGAGCAAGCAGCCTCTGTCTCTTCAGAGCTGGCAGTTCTTTTGTTCTCCCACAGAGAGCAGGGGTTGGAGTGTTTGGCACTTCTTCTGGGCTTGGGAATCAGGACTCTTGAATCCTGCGGAGTAACCTTGGATAATACTCATTCTTGCTCCAGAACTTCGTGGCTGACTTCATACCCCGCAGAATCACTTGTTGCTTTCTCCCCATGTAGCTGCCATTGCCTCTGTCTGGCATGCTGCCTCGTAGAGGGGCTGGACTCTCGGTGAGGAATGAGAATAAGAATTGTAGAGAAGTTCAGGAGTAGATACATAGCATTTGTTGATTCCATTGTGATGTTAATGGTGTTCTTTACTCTTATGTTTCTCTGTCTCCTTCTAGTGAACAGCAGGCAGCCAGGACCCTCACCACGGTAGAATGGTGAGTACTCTCTTCTCCCACGTTTGTGTGTCCTGTCATCCTTGTGTCTTTCTCTGTGAAGCTGTCCACCCCTCCTGGACCTTGAGCTCCAGGCTACTTTGTTCAGGCCCTACACAGGTTTATCTGCTCTGGAGATAAATTAAGTTTCTTTAGATCGTAAGACATCAGCCACTGGGACAGGAAGCCTTTAGAAATCGTTTTCTGCAAATGTTATGCCATTCCCTCGCCACGCTACCACTGGCTCTCTTAGCCTTTCATAATGGCCTTTCTCTCGGATCCCTGGGAAGCTCTCTGTTCTGGTCTGAAAAGCCAGGCCTCCTTTATCCCAAGGAGGTAAAGTACTTCCTAGTGGGGCCCTTGAATATTGTGGGTGCTGTGTTAGGAGTGGCTTCACCAAAACTCTGGGGCTTTGCCAGCTCTAAGGTGCTGCTGTCCATTAAGCTACTGTAGGCAACAGGTGACTGGATATACAGCAGGATAGACCCATCAATATTTCTGGGAGTGGTTATAATGTTCCCCTAGATTTTCCATTAACTGTAACTGTGTATTTCCCTCTAAGTCTGAAGTCTCCCCAGTAACACAAGATAAGGCTTACTTCTTGGGGAGTTGAAAGGTTTTAGTGAGATAAAATATAGATGCTTAATAAAATGTCAGGTTTTCTTCCATTCTTCCCTTCCTCCAAAACCCAATGCCAAATCCACACTAAAACCTTGAAAGTTACTAGGCACAAGAAGTGTGGGGTTCCAGCCAGCTCCTTCTTTGATTCTTGGTGACATTTTGAGCCTCTTATCACTGCTCCTGGTTCCATGGCCCTCAACCCGACTCCCACCAGACCCCATACCCTTGGGTTTCAAGTTTTGTTTTTGCATAGCTTCTGTGGTCCACAGTTCTAGCCTTCCTCTCTCAACCTGAGAAATCCTTTCTCTTCCAAGAAAGACTTTCTTACCCAGAAGTCTGAGAATGTGAAACAGGGGAGAGAGGGAGCGGAATGAATGGGATTGGGCAGAGGCCTTGGAATAAAACACAGAATTTCTCTGTCTGGAGTGTGAAATGACCAACCTAGCACTAGCCCAGTATCCATTTTAATGGGCAAAAGAGGGAGTGGGATTTAGTGAGGTGTGTGTGTGTGTGTGTGTGTGTGGAGGGGGGGAGGTTGGAGGACACTGATGGACAGGGATCCGATGGGTGGTGGTTTTGGAGGGAAATGACAAAGCCTTGGAACTGGAGAGAGCATGAGGTGGTTGTAGGTGAACTCCATCGTGGGAATTTAGAACAGGCATGGAGAGAACTCAGCGGTAAGGGGGTGGGGTGGGAGGAAGGGCGGGATTTGTAAAGAGGGATGTGGGGTGGCTCACCTGGGAGGAAGGGAAATGAAACGATGTAGGCGTCTCGCCTTCCCCTTTCCCGCGGTCAGGGGACAGCCCAGCAGCCCAGCCTCCCGAAAGCCCCTATAGACGTCCCCGGGGGAACCCCCCTCCCCCCCATCACGCGGCCGCGGGGCCGCGGGGCCGCGGGGCTGCGGGGAGGGAGGGGCCTGTGGCTGTGGGTGGGGCCGAGGGCCCGTCCCGCCCCCGCCCTCCTCCGCGCGGCTTCGGGCGCTCCCCCCCCGGGGCTCCCCTCCCTTTCGCGCGCGTGTCGGAGGGCGGAGCCGGGCTCGCTCCATTGTGGAGAGGAGGGAAGAGGCGCGCGGGAGCCGCGCCGAGGCCCCGCCGCCAGCGCGCCAGCCTCCCGGCCTCCGCGGCTGCACCTGGCGGGCCCCGCAGCCGGGATGCGGCGAGCGCCCGGGGCTGGCGGGCAGCGCAGCGGCTCCGGGGACATGTGCGCTGGCCCAGACCTCCCGCGACCATGAGCCTGACCGCCCGCGTCTCCTGCTCTATGCTTAGCTGCTTTGTAAGTGCCGGCCCGCCTGCGTGGGCCCGGGGCCCCGGCGCTTGCTGGACCCGCAGCCCCGCCCAGGGCCAGCCTTGGAGATTCTGAATTTCAGCCCATCCCCCCTTCTCAAGGATTCTGGCCGGAGAAAGGGGTTATTCTTTTTCTTCCTTGGGTTTGCTTTGATCTTCGGGGGTTGGGGATTGTCGTAGCCCGGGGATGGAAATTGTGTGATTCGCGCTGGTCCCGCAGCCACTGCCCTTGACTGCAGATCTCCAGGCCCCGCCCTGCAGGGGTGCATCCCTTTCCCTCCGCCTCTCCATCTTGGTCCCACCCGCTGCATTCTTGCTAGGGGATGTGGGATGTGGCTAGTAGGTTGTCTGGGATTTTAGGGGGCTGGTTGGGGAACACAAGATGTCTGAGCTGTCTCCCTGGCTCCCAGTCCCCTCCCCCTTCCACCACTGCTTCCCTCACCTAACACGCCAGTCTTTTCTCCTTGACTGTCCCCCAGACAGCCTCTGTTCTCCATCTTCCCTGACTCTGCAGGCCTCTGTACCTCTGCATCATTTCCAGCCCTCCCCTCCTCCCCTCCGACTAATGCTCCTTCCAGCTTCCCCATCTGTCCTCTCAGATGTTCCCACCCTCACCTCCTCACCCCCTGTGGGTGTCGGCCAGGCCTCTCTACCCTGGTTGTCCTTGGGCCTCCCTGTTCCTTCTAAGTGTGTGGATTCTCCCCCCACCACCCCCTCCCTGGTGTTGGGAGAGGAGTGACTTCTGCTTGCTGTGGGTATCCTCAGGAATTCCCCTCGGATCAGCAGGCAGGGCAGGTGGCTGGGTGGGTGTTGGGGGCCTAACGGGGATAAGCTCAGCTCCAAAACATACCCTCCTTTTGAAAGCACCCATGCCGGCCCTCTAGAGGCACAGCACTGAATCCCCAGCCCACTCCTCTTTGTCTCCTTCCCCCGCCAGGTTGAAGCCTCAGTGGCCCTAGAAGCCTGCTTCCCCTATTGTCTCTAACCAGTGGCCACACCTGCTTCCTTTTCCTAGGGCAGCACTTTCCATCCCCACTTCTGTCCTTCCTTTACGCTGGTCTTTCTTTTTCTTAGTTTCTCCCCTTCTCCACTTGGGAAATTTTGGTTCTGTAGAAGAACCAAAGGAGTATAGATTCCTACTTTCTCTTTGGACCTTACTCTTCCCTGCGTCTTACTAGGCTTGAGTACCCCCTTTACCCTACCCTTCTCACCAAACCAGGCCTCCTTCCCATTCTCTGGTGGCCGGAACCTTTATAAGGGTCCATGGGCTCTATGTGGGTTTACTGAGGGGAAGGAAGTAGCATGAGGTCTGTTTCGAGTGGAGCCTGGTGACTTAGGACTGAGGCCTTCCCCACAGGGTGAGGAGGGGCCCCCCAGCCTGGAGTACATCCAAGCCAAGGATCTGTTCCCCCCCAAGGAACTAGTGAAAGAGGAGGAGAATCTGCAGGTAAGGAGAAGTTGGGGGCCCAGGGTGGGTGGAGCTCCCTTCCTGGTTAAAAAATACTCCCCCTCCCCCCAAGTATCTCTAAGGGGAGCTAGTAGCAGAGTTCTGGCTTCCTGCTCCCCAGTTTCTGAAGGTAAGGGAGTCCAGAATCTGTCTGCATTGCATTATGGAGCCTTTGGCCCCAGGGAAGGCAAGGCAGCTTTCCTGTAGAGCCGTTGCCTGGTGTTGTTACTGTGGAGAGGACTCTTCCATCCTACCTGGCCCAGCTCTTCAAGAGGGGATCCCACAGGTCAGGGGCTGGAGAGGGGAATGGAAGGGTGATTCAGATCTGGACTGAGGGATGCTCTGCCCCTCTCCAGGTGCCCTTCACGGTGCTGCAGGGTGAGGGAGTGGAGTTCCTGGGCCGGGCAGCCGATGCCCTCATTGCCATCTCCAACTACCGGCTGCATATCAAGTTCAAGGATTCTGTCATCAACGTGAGTGTCTGTCTTGTTCTCCCACAACCAAGCCAGAATCCCTGTGAGGTGCAATGTGGGATTGCCCCAATGTTGTACTTGATCAGGTCTCCAAGGAGTAGGGGTTCCCTTTTTCTCACTAACTTTTTGTTTTCCTGCCTCATTCTTCCAGCTGTAGGCCTTCTGTCTCAGTTATTCTCCCTTCCCCTCTTCTCTCTCTCCCTTATTCTGTTGCTGGCTTTTCTAAGGGGAATTGTTGGAAGTTTGCCAACTCGCCAGCTGTATGTCCTTGGTCAAGTCATCCATCTGAGGCTCAATTTCCTTCTTAATAATATGAGGTGGAAAGACTTGCCTTGCAGGGTTCTTGTGATTATGAATTGGGGTCACATATGTAAAGGACCCAGCACAATTAGCAGGCACTTAATAGGCACTCAGTAAATGTTGATTTCCTTTCTCCTATTAATATATCAACTTCTGGGCTGGGGTGGCAGTGAAGAGTGCTATGGGCAGTGGGAATCTGAGCTTTCAGTTTACCCTTCCTCCAAAGGTCCCGCTCCGGATGATTGACAGTGTGGAGAGCCGTGATATGTTCCAGTTGCACATTGCCTGCAAGGACTCCAAAGTGGTGAGGTGAGAACAACGGGACCTCATTCAGTCCCTCTCACCCTAGTCCTGCCCTAACCGCTCTGCTGCAGGGTTCCTGTGGAGCAAGAAAGGAAAGGTAGTGCCTCACTTTTGCAATTTGGAAAAAAAAAAAAAAAAAGGTGAAAACCTCCTCTGAATTAGGAGGTCAATTTTCTGACCCACAGTATCTTGACCTGAAGAAATGGGGGTAATACTTAGCATATGGGGTTGTCATAAGGATTAGATGAGGTAATATGTAGGAAAGCACATAGAATGATACTTTATTGTTGGTTCATTTATTTGTTCAGTCAGACTGTTGTAAGCCTTGGAGATACTACTGGGAATAAGTAGACCAAGTTTTCTGCCCTCATGGGGCTTATATATATTCCAGTGGGGAGATACTAGCAGTAAATAATAAGTGAATAAAATACGTTACATGTTGCTAAGTATAAAGGGAAGAAATATAGCAGGGAAAGAGGATATGGAGTGCGAAGGGGGTGAAGGTTGTAGCTTTAGACAAAATGCTTTGAGAGGCTCTACTGAAAAGGTGACATTTGAATCAAGACCTGAGGAAAGTGACCCTGTGGATATTTTGGGGAAGGGTGTGCCAAGCAGAGGTAAATTGAGTGCAGAAGCCCTGGGGTGAGTTTGTACCTGGCATGTTGAAAGAATCATTAGAGGTTCGCTTGGCTGGCATGGAGTGTATGTGGGTGAGGGTACTGGGATATAAGACCTGAGAGGTCAGGAGGGTGCCAGGCTGTCATATGACTGCCTTTTACTCTGAGGGAAATGAAAAACCACTAGAGGGTTCTGAGCAGAGGAGTGATGTGATCTGATGAATGTTTTATAGAATCATGCTGCCTGCTATATTGAGAATAGTTGGAAGGGGACAGGGGCAAAAGCAAGGGCAAAAGCTGGAAAACTAGTTAAGCTATCGCAGTCACCCTGGTGAGAGATCAGGCTGGCCTGGGTAGGGCGGTAGCTCTACTATCCTCAAAACTGAGAAGTGGTCAGATTTTTTTAAGGCAGAGATGACAGGACTTGCTTACAGATTGGATATGTGAAAAAGAGGAGTCTGGGATGACTCCAAGGGTTATTAAAAGAACGCCCAGTTTTAGAGCCTGCCATGTGCTCAGGCTGTAGGGGTTCAGGAGGAGAATCCACATTGCCCTTCCCTTCAGTCTAATTCTGAAGGAAGAGTTGACATGTGGCAGGCTGCAGTGGCAAAACTCGCCGTTTCATACTCCAAGCACATTAAGAATAAGAAAGGAAGAGTCTGTGGAATGGAGTAGGCTGGGTAGGTCTCAAGGAAGAGCTTAGGACCGGAACAATCTTCAAAGTATCGTAGGAGGTGGCTAGGCTGAGGGAAGACATTATCAAGCAGAAGTAAGGAGTAGTATGAGCAGGACCTCCTTCCTGCGTGAAGCAGAAGGTGTTACGGAGTCATGAGAGAGAGAACACAAAGAATAGCAACTTTCAGGGCCATGTGAGAGCCTCTAGATTTGATAGGAGCGATGGTGGGGCCCCATTAGAGAGACAGATGTCTCAAGGACAAGAGTTCTTGGGAAAAGAACCTTCACTCTTGGGTGTTGGTCAGTGTCCTTGCTCCTCCCCAGGGTCCCTGTTACCTCCTGCTTTGCAGCCTCCTCTCCCCACAGTCTCCCGGTGGCCATTTTTGACCCTTTGGCCGCGTTACACATCCGCCTCTTGCCTCACTCTGGATTCTTGCCTGGCAGGTGCCACTTCTCCACTTTCAAGCAGTGCCAAGAGTGGCTGTCACGGCTAAGCCGGGCCACAGCGAGACCTGCCAAGCCTGAGGACCTCTTTGCCTTTGCCTACCACGCCTGGTGCCTGGGGCTGACCGAGGAGGATCAGCATACCCACTTGTGTCAGCCAGGTGAGGCCAGGCTGTTTTCTTTGTGGGGTTTCTTATCTCTTGGTTCTCATCCCTCTCCCATCCCCGGACATGGTGCTCTTGGATGCTGACAGACGTGGGGGCTGTGTTGCAGGAGAACACATACGATGTCGGCAGGAGGCTGAGCTTGTGAGGATGGGCTTTGACCTGCAGAATGTCTGGAGAGTCTCTCACATCAACAGCAACTACAAGTGAGAGGGCAGGGGATGGGGAACCAAAACACCATTCCAGCCCAGGCCCCTTGCACTTATGGATAAAGCTTGGTGGGCATAGCTTCCCTGGCTCTGTGGGGAGAAGGGCTCCCAGTCCCCTTTCCTACAAAGCCATCCTGGGGGTTATTACCGTCTCAGATCAAGCTTGGTGACCCCATCTGGTCTCTTCTCAGATTGTGCCCAAGTTATCCCCAGAAGCTGCTGGTTCCTGTGTGGATCACAGATAAAGAGCTGGAGAATGTGGCCTCCTTCCGCTCGTGGAAACGGATCCCCGTGGTTGTGTATAGGTGAGGCAATGGGGCTGCAAATAGAACGTTTTTATGCAATAAGGAAGGAATCAAAAGTGGCGGTTTGCAGCAGCATGATTGATTGAGAATTGACACCCCTAAGGAAAGGGCTACGAACTAATTTAAAACAAAAACTGCCTCAGTTTCTTCTCTCCTAAGGCTGAGGCTTTTGGAGAATTTATTTAATATCCTTTTTTTGAGGATGTGTGTATGTATGTATAAAATACTGCATTAGAATGGGGGTTGGCAAAATGGCCTGTGAACCAAATCCAGCTTGGAGCCCGTTCATGTGCAGCCTGTGAGCTATGAATCGTTTTTACATTTTTAAATGATTACTAAAAAACAAAAATAGTCTCCCTTCCTCTCTGAAATCAATAAAGTCATATTTAAAAACAAAAAGAAGAATGTGTGACAGAGACTGGCTATGACCTGCAAAGCTGAAAATTTATTGTTTGGTTCTTTACTAAAAATGTTTGCCGACCCCCGACTAGAACACTGTAGCTAAATAGAGTGAGACGACAGGTGTTGAGGTATGGAGTTCATCCTCTGGGCTCAGGCTTGTTCTCCTGCTGGGTGTCTGTACCTGCAGCAGATGCTGTGCAGGTTTGATGAGTCAAGGTCACCCCGGGAATGTAGAGCCCATTTGAGAAATGTGTGTGATAAGTGCTTTGTAAACTATAAAGCCCTTTAGGGGCTTTTGGTTGCTATTTTCATCGCCTGTATGAACTAGTAGCTTCTACCGGCTTTGGATCTTGGTCTGTCCCCTGGAGTCTCAGTGGTAGGCCTTGGGGCTATGAATGCCAAGGGCATGATGGTTTTTTTCTGCTCTGTCAGACATCTACGCAATGGGGCTGCCATCGCCCGCTGCAGCCAGCCGGAGATCAGCTGGTGGGGCTGGCGCAATGCTGACGATGAGTACCTGGTCACATCCATCGCTAAAGCCTGTGCCCTCGACCCGGGGACAAGGGCCACTGGGGGCTCCCTCGGCACTGGGAACAGTGATGCCAGCGAGGCGTGTGACACTGACTTCGGTAAGGTGTAGGTGGTGCTGCCCCCTGGGGAGCAGGCCCCCACTTTGGCCTCATTGACTTCCAGGGAGTCCTCAGTGAGAAGATGGGAAGAAGATGATAATACGCAGGGTGCCCGGGTCCCTGCCTTTTGAGAGGCTGTGGGGTGGGAGGGGTTCCAAGTTGTATATTCTTTTGAAATATAGGTGTGCCCCCGTGTAGGGTGAGGCTGGTTGGCTGGCTGACCCCAGCGTCTTGTCCCTGCTGTGTTTTTAGATTCCTCCTTGACTGCATGCTCTGGAGTGGAGAGCACAGCGGCCCCTCAGAAGCTGCTGATCTTGGATGCTCGGTCCTACACCGCGGCAGTGGCTAACCGGGCTAAGGGTGGAGGTTGTGAATGCGAAGGTATTGCTGTTCTCCCAATGTCTGCAGCTAGCCTGTGCTCAGGGTGGCCTTGGTGGGGAGAGTGCAGGGTCCCGCTGTGTAAAAGATGCCAAACAGCTGGCTTGGCACCAGGATTCTGTCACTCACTAGCTGTACCCATGCCTAAGTTCCTTAATCTAAGTTTCATTTTCTTCTCTGTAAAATGGGGGTGTTGCATACCTTGCAAAGTTGTTGGATCATTAGAAGTTACATCTATAAAATTGCTGGCACAGAGCTACTACTATTTATTGAGAATTTTCATTGTCGTTACTAGTAATACAACGGGTATCATTTGTCATTGATATTATTATTACTATTAGTCTTTGGAATCTGAGTATTCAGAGATAAAAGGGTGATAGAGAGTTCCAGAGTATATTTAGTTCCCATCCTGGAGTATTCGCCCTGGTATGGAAGCTTTGCCCATTGGACCGCCCTTGTCCTGCATGCTGTTTCCGGGACATGCCATTATGCTCCACTCTCCTCTCTCACGCCTGCAGAGTACTACCCCAACTGTGAGGTCGTGTTCATGGGAATGGCCAACATCCATGCCATCCGGAACAGCTTCCAGTACCTCCGCGCTGTGTGTAGCCAGATGCCAGACCCCAGCAAGTAGGTGTCCCTGCTCCGATTCCATCCTTCCTCTCGTCTCATCCCCTACCCCGTCCTTCTTGTTCTTGGAAGATTAGGCGGGATATGGGAAGTGTGCAAGTGCAGGAGACCCGAGGGCCTGGGTGCAGTGAGCCACTTCCAAGAATACTTCTAGTTCTCAGCCAACACTCTGGCACGGCCACAGGACATTGGGTTCCTTTTGTTTGAGTCAGTTGTCTATTTAAAGAACACAGAGAACTGGGGACACAAAGTGGCTAACTGTGCATGTGATGCTGCCGAGTTCCACTATTGATCCTCAGAGTCTCTTGTCTGTCTCAGGTCCCCGTCTTTTCTTCCTTCCTGCTTGCTAAACTTGGCAGAAGGGCCATCAGCTGGGCTCTTGCTTCAGCCCTCACCAGGGACTTGGTTAGGTGTGGCTGGCCATGGGTGGTGGAGAGACTGTTGTAGCCTCAGTGCCAATTGTAACAGACTTAATTTCTGCTCTTGCGTAGCTGGTTGTCAGCACTGGAGAGCACCAAATGGCTGCAACACTTGTCGATGATGCTAAAGGCAGCTGTGCTTGTGGCTAATACAGTAGACCGGGAAGGCCGGCCTGTGCTGGTGCACTGCTCGGATGGCTGGGATCGGACGCCACAGATCGTAGCCCTGGCTAAAATACTACTGGACCCGTATTACAGGACACTGGAGGTAATGAGAGGGGTTGGGTGGGAAAGGACAGGGGAAAGGGGTGAGGGATTGGGGAGGTGTTTGGCCCTGAGGATTTTTAGTAGAGGTCATTGGCGCTTTGAGTCCTCTTCCAGGTTTATTCCTGTTCTTCTCTAAAGCTGCCAGCTTCTTGCTTCGGGCAGCCCCTTGGAAGCATCACACTGGCCTTTTCACAGAGGCCCCGTGCCTGAACTCTTCTTCGCAGGGCTTCCAAGTATTAGTAGAGTCTGACTGGCTGGATTTCGGACACAAGTTTGGAGATCGCTGCGGCCACCAGGAGAATGCAGAGGACCAAAATGAGCAGTGTCCTGTGTTCCTCCAGTGGCTCGATTCTGTTCATCAGCTGCTCAAGCAGTTCCCCTGCCTGTTTGAGTTTAACGAAGCATTCCTGGTAAGATCTAAAGCCTGTGACCGGGGTGGGGGATGGCAACCGAAGCCCCCAGGTGCAAGCTGTCTTGGCTCTCTAGGTCAAACTGGTGCAGCACACATACTCCTGCCTCTACGGCACGTTCCTGGCCAACAACCCCTGTGAACGTGAAAAGCGTAACATCTATAAGCGGACCTGCTCTGTGTGGGCCCTCCTGCGAGCTGGCAATAAGAACTTTCATAACTTTCTCTACACACCTGGCTCAGACATGGTAAGCCCGAACCCTCATCCTACAGGTGCTGCTTTGAGACCTGTGGTGAGAATAGGCCGAGTCAGTGGGGAGGATGTAAGGCCCTGGAACACCTCACAAAGCACTAGTGTGGGCCTGCTTCCCTAGGTCCTGCACCCCGTGTGTCACGTCCGGGCCCTGCACCTCTGGACAGCTGTTTACCTGCCAGCATCATCTCCATGCACACTCGGGGAGGAGAACATGGATCTTTACCTTTCCCCAGTGACTCAGAGCCAGGAGTTCTCTGGTCGCTCTCTGGACAGGTAAGATTGCCCTTCTTGCTCTTTCTTCTCTTTACTAGAAGGCAATAATTGCTTTGTGTCTTGCCTAAATGTTCTCTTTTTTAAAATTATAGTTTACCTTCAATATTATTTTGTATTAGTCTTTTTTTAAATTTTTTTTATTTCTTTGTTTTGTTAATACTCACCTAAGGATATTTTTCTATTGATTTTTAGGGAGAGTGGGAGAGAGAGGGAAAGACAGAGAAACATTGATGTGAGAGAAACATATCAATTGGTTGCCTCCTGCACGAGCCCTGACCAGGGCCTGGGCCAGGGGGGAACCTGCAACCAAGGTACATGCCCTTGACCAGAATTGAACCCGGGACCCGTTATATAAAACTGGTTTATATAACCAGTTTTTTATTAGTCATTTTGGTAATTTCCATTTTTTTGTCAGCCAATGCCTCAGGCTGATGCTCTATCCACTGAGCCAAACCGGCTAGGATTGTATTAGTTTTATTCTTTTTTTTTTTTTTTTTTTTTTTAATGAGATATCTAAAAGCAACTTCTTGAGTTGGGTGAAGGAGAAACGTGACCTAGAACTTGCATCTAGCCTGAAGTGCACTGTGTGCATTTTCAAGGTCCTCCCTTAAGATAAGACTGGTTGTCGTCTTTCCTGGAACTCCTGTCACCCTGTGTGACATACCCAATCAGGGGGGTGGAGAACAGGACAGGAAGGTCTATTTTGGAAGGTTTGTCGGAATGGTCTTCTATTCACTCCTAGAAGGAAAGGGGAGCTTGCTGTCTCAGTAGTAACCTTCGCTGTGTCTAGCATCAGCTTCCAGAAGCATCTGACTTTCAGGCTCCCAGAAGGGGGATGGATGGCCTTCACATTACTTTCTCAGAACAAGGGCCAGAATTAAAAGGAAGACATAAAAATTAAAATTTCCTTTTTGTTGAATATTTTGGGGGAAGTAGAATCGAGGTTGGTTAAATTATGAATGATACATATCAAGCATTTAAAGGAAAAAGTAAAATAATATAAAAGTAGAAAACAAACGTCCTCTCTTCCTGATCCTTGTCCCACAGGTGTCCACTGCTAACACTTTGGTGCATGTCTTTCCAGATATTTATCTACATAGATAAGTCCATACTCACACAGTCCTATAGGAACTTTTTTAAAATTCAGAAATACCCCTAGGTGGTTTGGCTTAGTGGATAGAGCATCAGTCTGCGGACTGAAGGGTCCCAGATTTGATTCCGGTCAAGGGCACATGTCCAGGTGTGGGCTCAATCCCCATGGGGTGCATGTAGGAGGCAGCCTATCGATGATACTCTCTCATCATTGAGGTTTCTATCTCTCTCCCTCTCTCTTCCTCTCTAAAATTAATAAATATGTTAAAAATAAATAAATACAAAAATGGAATCTTACTTTGTATGCTGTTCTGCAAATTGTTTTTCCCACTTTGTGCTAGGCTTCCACCCCATGACAATATAAAACTGCTTTATGTTTAGTGGCTGCATAATAGTCTAAGACTAGAGTATATTACAGTTTATATAACCAGTTTTCTGTTAGTCATTTTGGTAATTTCCATTTTTTGTCATTACAGGGAATGTTCTAGTTAACATTTTTATATGTGTATCTTTTTAAAAAAACTAGTAAAATATACATAATATTTAACATTAAACCCTTTTTAATTTTTTGATGTATGTTTTTATTTATTTCAAAGGAGAAAGGGAGAGAGAAAAAGGGAGAGAAACATCAATGCTGAGAATAATTGATCTACTGCCTCCTGCATGCCCCTACGGGGGATCGAAACTGCAACCCAGCTATGTGTCCTGACTGGGAATCAAACCATGACCTCCTGGTTCATAGGTCGATGCTCAATCACTGAGCCACACTGACCGGGCCAAAACCATTTTTAAGTGTACAGTTTAGTAGAGTTACCTTATATGTATACCTTTGTATTTGTGCTAGTATTTCTGCCAGATAAGTTCCTGGAAAAGAAAATGCTGGGTTCAGAGGAATGTACATTTCAAATTTTGATCTTTGTATACTGGCGGAAAGCTTTAAAATTGAAATATAACTTACATAAGTGGCTGAATATTATAAAAGAAAACAAAAAAACCAACCTCCTAAATTACTCATTTTAGAAATTTTGTAGCTGAGTTTGTCAGGAGCTCATGGGTAGGTTTTAGGAGTTCTGTGACTTTTTTCCTTCCCCAAACTATGTAGAATGTGGGTATAGGTTTATAAGTTTACTTTTCTAGAGAGAGGGGCCATAACTTTTTATCAAATTCTCAGTAAATTCTGTGACCCATTGAATAATTATTGCCTTAAAATCAATACAATTTTTTGCATCAATAAATGCCTTAATACCTTTGTACTAAACCAGGTTTTATATGCTATACTAAAGGAATAGAAACCATTGACCCTATTTAAGATACTTTAAAAACCTGTAAGATGAGACATAAGACAATTAGAATGGCTAAGTCAGCATCTAAGCAACTAAGAATGTATAATTTAAAGCCGTTAGAGAAATGAGAAGAAAGAGGTCATTTGATGACTATGTACTCAGAGAACTAATGGGAGACTAGGCAAGAACCATGGTTCTTTTGTACTGTAGTATCTGGCTCAGGGCCTGGCACATAATAGGTGCTTCAGTAAATACTTAAATGAACAAATGAATGGAATAAAGGGAGTTGTGAGCTTGGTAGCAAGGTTAGTGGAGTGGGTCCAAAGGAACTGGATACATGAGAGAGTTTTATAAAAAGAAGCAGCTCTCTGGAGCTGGCAGAGGTTGGGAAGGGGCTATTTTGAGGAATAAAAATAAATATACGATAGTTAATTGAGGACTTTGAACATTACACTGAGGAGTTTATTTTGATTCCCTTATCTATAGTAAATCACTGTAAGTCATTGTGACCTAGTGACACTGGGATTTGGGGAGAACTAGTCACTGAGCCTGGCAGTTGGAAGCCCAGAGACCAGCCAGCACTGGACACTGTAGAGAAGTCATTAACAGGCTATGAAGTTGCTAGTAAGTCCCCAAGTTTAGAAACCAGGAGAATATCAGTACCACCTATAAACACTGAAAAGTTGAGTAGTCTATTCTGGGAGGAAGAGGAGATATAGGCAGATTGGGATTGAAATACTAGTTGACAGCAAAGAGGTGCTATAGGGAGTTCAAGGTAGAGTGTTGGATTTTGAAGAATAAGTGGTATAAAGGTTTTAAAGGAAATAGTTTCTCTAAAAGCTGGCCTGGTGTACCTTTGGTCCTACCATTTCCTAGATTAAAAATGTCTTGGCCTCTTTCCTCGTCTTCCATTAAAGTCCAGCACATTCTTCTGTACCCAGCTGAAATCCTGCCCTCTGTGTGTACGCTTCCCTGACTGCCTTAGCTGGATAGTTCTCTCATTGTTCCGAACTCCTCAGGCACTATTGTCTCTACCAGCATTATTTTATTAAGCCTTTGGTGCACATAGGAATTAAGCTGTTGATATTGTAGAATCTGTGTAAAGAGTACTACCTGGGACTTATTCATATTCTTTTGTCTACTTTACTTCTTTTGCATATTTGAAAGTTTCCACTAAGAAAAACTAAACACCAAAGAGTTGCCAACTTGGGATTTAAGTCCTGCTATGGGACTTGGAGACTGTAATCATAACTATTGCTATCACCTTGTTGGAATTTCATGCACAAAAAAAAATAAAAATCAAAATTGATTACAAAAGTAAAATGAAACACAAATATAACTTTTAAAACATAATAAGTTTCAAAAACCAAACATTAGAAAACTCAATCTATATTGTAATCTACCTTCAGGAGATTTTGCTATATGGGTTGGTCAGAGGTATCTGAAAATTGGAGCACAGTGATGTCTCCACTGTTCCCCGGCAAATTGTTCTAAAGTTTTAGTTTCTCTAAGGACTTTTGAACTGTCTTAAAAATCAGGGAGGTCATTCATGAAAATGTTACACGTCTGGCATGCACAAATGCCTCTGGAACTCTTGGAGTGCTGTGTACTAGAAGAAGTTTCCATGGTGACTTGGCACTCAGGAGAACACTGCTGCTTAATGGTTGTAAAAAATTGTGTTGGTTACTACTGTGATAGAGGGATAATCTATATATGTATATATATAAAAGCCCAGCAACCGTTAAGGCAGAACGACCAGAACAACTAGTTGCTATGATGCCCACTGACCACCAGGGGGCAGGAACTTAACACGGGAGCTGCCCCCTGGTGGTCCATGTGCTCCCACAGCAGGAGTGCTGCTCAGCCAGAAGCCTGCTCACGGCTGGCAGGCTGGTGAGAGTAGCAGCAGTGGCAGGAGCCTCTCCTGCCTTTGTGGCAGTGCTAAGGAGCTGAGAGCCAAGCAGTAAGGAGGGAGCAGGCTGGTGGTTAGGAGCGAAGGGTCCCAGATTGTGAGAGGGCGCAGGCCGGGCTTAGGGGACCCTCCACCCCCACCCCCTTGCACGAATTTCGTGCATCGGGCCTCTAGTTTATAATAAGAAAGGTTTAAAAGTGAGTCCTAAGTGTAGGCTTAATCATTTGTGGTTGGTTGCCTATATTTTGAATCATAGCATCTCTATAAGTTATAATTTATTATCATTTTATAGAGGAGAAAACCACTTATCTGAGGGTTTAAATACCTTACTTACATCATATAGCTACTAAGTGTCAGTGCCAGTGTTGTCTAGCTCCAGTACCCATCTTTCTGTCTTACCATGTGTGATAGAGGCAGTTGGACTTTGGGTTTGGGCTCAGGTGTGGTCCTGGCTGGTATAGTAGCTTTAGAAGGCATCAGCCTAGAAGGCTAAGTTAAAACCATGGGAGTGGTGGAGATTGCCCAGGGAGATTGTGTAGGGTGAGGGTTGATGAAAGCTTGCGACAGGATTCTTGGGGACGAGGTTCTTGTACTTTTTTGCAGAGAACACTTTTTGTAGTGAACATTGGTTGTTTGTAATGTTAAATGCTATTATTCCTTGTGAACTCTGGCTTTGATGATCTGATTCTGTGTATTGGGGGTGGCTCCCATTTCATGACCTGGAGGCATTGTGCTGTCATTCCAGATTACCTAAAACCAGATCTATGGATGATCTTCTTTCTGCCTGTGACACGAGCAGCCCTCTGACACGCACATCCAGTGACCCTAACCTGAATAACCATTGTCAGGAGACCAGAGCAGGCCTGGAGCCCTGGCATGGCAATCCTGAGGGACCAGAGACAGCCTTCGTGGAAACTGGGGTAGGAGGTCCTCAGCAGACTGTAGGAGAAATGGGTCTTCCCTCGCCTCTGCCCAGCAGCCAGAAAGACTACTTGAGCAATAAACCTTTCAAGAGTCACAAAAGCTGTTCTCCAAGTTACAAGCTGCTTGGTGCCACAGTGCCCCAGGAAATGAAGAGCAACTCCTCTGATCCTGAGATTAAAGTCCTGGAAGAGACCACGGCATCAGCTCCAGACCATCCTGCCCAGGAGGAGCTGTGTAGGACTTTAGATGGCACAGAGGAGCCACCTGAACATTTCCCTGAAAAAGAAGCTGCTAGTGCACTCTCTAAAGTAATTTCCAACAAGTGTGATAGAATTTGTGATTTTCCTGAGTCTTCCCAGGACTCCCTTACAGGTGCCCCCCAACAAGCCCAGCGAGGCTCTGTGCTAGGTGTACCCTCCAGATCTGCTCCAGATCACAGTCTGGGCACCCTTTGCAACCCACTGAGTGCTACCTGCCAAACTCCTCCAGACCCAAGCACTGACTTTGTCAACCAGGATCCCCCAGAGTCTGTGGCAAGTATCTCCCACCAGGAACAGCCCAGTTCTGTGCCAGATCTGATTGATGGGGAGGAAGACACTGACAAAAGAGGGAATAATAGGAATGGGCAGTCATTGGAAAATCCTCGCTTTGGGAAAGTGCCACTGGATTTGGCCCGAAAGCCAATTTCTCAGAGCCAGATCAGTGAGTTCTCCTTTTTAGGTTCCAACTGGGACAGTTTCCAAGGGATGGCGACTTCTTTCCCAAGTGGGGAGACCACTCCTCGGCGGCTGCTTTCCTATGGTTGTTGTAGCAAGAGGTCGAGCAGTAAGCAGATGCGGCCCTTGGTGCCCTGCTTTGGGGGCCAATGGGTTCAGAGAGAAGGGGTGAAGTCACCTCTCTGTTCTAGTCATTCCAATGGACACTGTACTGGTCCAGGAGGAAAAAACCGGATATGGTTGTCCGGTCACCCAAAGCAGGTCTCCAGCACAAAGCCTGTTCCACTGAGCTGCCCTTCTCCAGTGCCTCCTCTCTATCTGGATGATGATGGACTCCCCTTTCCCACGGATGTGATCCAGCATAGACTACGGCAAATTGAAGCAGGGTACAAGCAAGAGGTGGAGCAGCTACGTCGACAGGTGCGGGAACTGCAAATGAGACTGGATATCCGTCACTGCTGTGCCCCTCCAGCAGAACCTCCCATGGACTATGAGGACGATTTTGTAAGTATTCACCTACTGCCGCCCACCCATTCATTTATTCTGTCCACGAACCTTCCTTTTCAACATTCAACATTCATTCATGAGTACTTGCTGTGTGCCACTGTGTAACGTGGTTGGGCTATAAGATGAACAACATAGAACCTGCTCTCAAGGAGCTCGTAGTCTATTGGAAGATTATTTCTTAAGTACTGTTTGAGGGAGGCATCCGGTGTTGGGGCCTGGGGTAGAGTGAAAGATCAGGGAAGGCGTTCCTGAGAAGATAATGCTTAGTTGAGTCCTGAAAATGTGTCATATGTAGCTTGGAAGACAGTGAAAAGAAATAACCTTTTGTAGAAGCATGGAGGCAATCAGTATTCCAAGAGTATGGCTTGAACAAATGGGTTGTGTGTATGTGAGTGTAGTTGTATACTTGTGTTAGAATGGCAAGGGGGAGGCAGTTGGGTAGTGCGGTGGGAGGTGATATTGGGGAAGTAGATAGGAATCGGAAAAGTCAGTTTGAGTTCCCTTATTGTTTGGATTCTATCTTCAAGGTAATAATATTTTGGCCAGTGAGTAATATCAGATTAGTATTTTAAGAATACTACTCTTAAAAAAAAAAAAAATACTACTCTAGGGAAGGGTGTGGGTAAGGGAGAGAGATCAACCAAAGGACTTGTATGCATGTATATAAGCCTAACCAATGGACATAGACAACAGGGGGGTGAGGGCATGAGTGGGGGTGGGGGGGGCAATGGGACGATAAGGACACATATGAAATAGCCTGATCAATAAAGAAAAAATTAGTTACAGAAAAAGACAAAAAAAGAAAAAAAAAAGAATACTACTCTAGCAATAGTGTATCAAATGGAGGAGACAGTTGAAACTCAGGTTGGGAGGCTGGTTAGGATGTTTCGGAATAATCCAGGTGAGAAATGATGAGGACCATTTAGGTTTTGCTGTGCTGGGAGGCCTGTTTCTGGCACAACAGTCCTTGGGGAGCTTCTAGGAGTCAGCTTCTTGCCCATAATATCTTGTCATCAACACAGGCAATCTGTTTCCTCCTCTTAAGACATTCGCTCTTCCTTGCTACCCATTTGTTGAGATGTGATAGGCAGGCCAAGAACTTCTTACCATTCAGGGTGATGATTAAGAACAGGAGTCAGCAAACTTTTCTGGTCAGGGGCCAGATAGCAAATGCTTTAGGCTTTGTGGGTCATATAATCTCCTTCGCAGCTATTTGACACATGTAATGCACTTAGAACAGCATGTGATGCATAATAATAAATGTAGAAATGATGAAGATAACGGTGATGCCTTCGCTTTTTCTTCAGACATGTTTGAAGGAGTCGGATGGAAGTGATACAGAAGATTTCGGCTCTGATCACAGTGAAGACTGCCTTTCAGAAGCAAGCTGGGAACCTGTGGATAAGAAAGAGACTGAGGTATGTCCTTGCAAATATGGGTACTTACGCAAGCCATTGTGTTCTCCGATTTCTCAGAGGTGAGTGGTGTGCTGTAGACCGAGTGTATTCTTTTTAGGTGAGTAGTGGCCAACTATAAACACAGGCCTTGTCCTTTCCTCCTGGGACGCTCTCCTTGTTGCAGTGTTGTTCTTCTGCTTTGTTGACAAGGACCTGGAATTTTTTTCTTGTTCCTTCCGTTAGGTGACTCGCTGGGTTCCAGACCATATGGCATCACATTGCTATAACTGTGACTGTGAATTCTGGTTGGCCAAACGAAGACACCATTGCAGGTAAGGTGTTTTATATGACTTGGTATGGCTTGTAAAAGTGAGGTACACATAAATGAATGAAATTGAATTAATCTGAAAATGGAGACATATTTTTAGGAACTATTTTTGCTTGTTTCCAACTTTTCTCTTTACTTACTCATGTAACGCCTTTTAAAGTATCACTCATTCTCAATATATTGGCAGTTATTTTATTTAAAAAATGTGTCCATTACAGTTTGCATGCAATATTATTCTGTATTAGTTTCAGATGTTCAGTATAGTGGCATTTCTGATGAACTCTTTCCTCCTTGTGCTTTGGCAGAAATTGCGGGAATGTATTTTGTGCCGGTTGCTGCCACCTGAAGTTGCCCATTCCTGATCAGCAACTTTATGACCCAGTTCTTGTCTGTAACTCATGTTACGAACATATCCAAGTATCTCGTGCCAGGGAACTTATGAGCCAACATCTGAAGAAACCCATTGCTACAGCTTCCAGTTGAATGCCAGAGATGACCTATCCAATTATAGCAGGTTGGAAGGGAGGATCTGCTTCTGGTGTAGTTTTGAAGGTTCCTTGGTGTGGCTCATGAAATCACAGAGTTCAAAGATACCATCTTGAGAAATCCTTGGTATCATGAGACTGGAGCAGAGGAATTCCAATTTGACAGGAGGTCCTCCACTACGGGTGAGACCCGCACCGCGGGGTAATGGTCCTGATCCAGACCCAGAGTCTGGAATCTTAACGTTGAGTCGGTGACTCCAGCTTCTTTCTCCTGGGAGTCACAAGATGATTTCATTGATACTGCCTGGTAATGTGCCCCAAACAGCAATAGAAAGGCATATGTATAACCAAACTCCAAGTGATAACCAGATCCATCTCTCCTCCACCTTGAAATAAAGCAGATTATAGTATATATAAAATAGGAATTCCTATCCTATTTGAAATGAACTATACCCTGTACCTCTGTGCTCTGTGTCTGTGCATGAAGGCTCAGTCTTTAGAGGCACTTCCTCTAGTTGCATTAGTTCTGTCTTTCTGTGGAGTTTGAAGACTGGCTCAGCAAGTGGAGGCTTTGCTGTGTGTTTCACTCGGCTCATCGGCCAGCATCAGTGAATACTCGGTGTAGGGGGACAGTTCTAGGGAGTGAGACATTTTTGGGAGCAGAGGAAAACTCTGCTGATGTTCAGTCCTGGCAAAAGTCAGTTATTTTGAGCTATGAAGGCAGTCACCTGTGTCATTCAGTGATGGCTCTTGAGGTATGCACTGTGAAGAATGAGAAGGGAAAACTCAGAAATTATCCTTGTGAAATATTTGCTGATTGTGCCCTACCCTTTGCGCCTGACTTTTCCTAGTTGTCCTGGTGCTAACACAGGAGCTACACCTTGACCCTCTCCTGGCATGAAAATAAAACCATGGTGTTTTTTTTTTTTGTTGTTGTTGTTGTTCCATTGCCCCTTTCCTCATGTTGTCTTTCCCTTGGCTGCTGCCTCCTCTGGGTCACTCTGCTTCTTATCCTGAACACTTGACACCTTGAGGGTAGAATTTAGTGTTTGGTTTTTTACCTCCTAGAATATGCTGTTTGGTATGTGAGGGTTTCAGTACAAATGCTGCTGTTTATTTCTGTGCACTTAACAATGGAACCCAAACAGAAGAGAGTAAAGCCTTGATACCAAAATTGGGAGAGAAAATGTGTCCATTTGGACCAAACCTTGTTTTATTTTTTTTCCTTTTTTTTTTTTTTTCATATTAATATGTACCAGTGGCACTTAACCAAAAGATACAGTGATATAGCCATGTACTAGGGGTGGGACAGATACAGTTTTCTTAACGTACGAAATCACTCGAATTTCCTTTATACATTTTTCTTAATTTGTTGATGTATAAAAGGTAAATTGCATTTAGGCTTATCCAGTTTTTAAACTACTGTAGTAGTTGTCTACTACTTTAATGTTGCTTCCTAGAAAAAAAATTGAACAAGAATCATATTTGTCCTGACCTTTTCTTCAGTCCTACAGAGAAGCATCTGTGCTTGCCATGGATGTAACCTAAAAAGTTTTGGCGTATTTAGGTCAATTTAGGTCAACGTAGCAGAACTCCTTTTGGTTTAAATGAAGTTGAATAATGGAGATTTTGTGTCTGGGAAATTCCTGAGATCACTGAAAAAGTAACAAACTATCCCTTGTCTCTGACACATAAAATTCTTCTAAGCATTTTCTCAATCATTTAAAACTTACTGCCAGTTGTGAGTGGCTTTTTAATTCACTTGATTTTCATTGCACTTCACTCTGCCGTTTTCATGGGGAGTACAATTAGTAACATTGGAGGGGACTGTATCTGTCTATTTTGTATGGCTATTTTGAGGGACTATCCCATCAGTGAACATACTGCATGGCCTTGGAGAGAGACTCTGGGCTCTCAGCTCAGATGTGTTCATCAAATACTCCTTTCAGAGCTCTTGTGGGTGTAAGTGACATGATGTGGCCAAAAAATCCAAACTGTGCAGTTGCGTTGTGACAAACATGCAATGTGCTGTAAAAACTCAATACAATTTAAATAAAATCTCTATATTAGTGCTGCTTTGTTGGATCTTTTTATTCATTTTAACTTATAAGAAAACCTAATGCATACTCATTTTTTTTCTTTGATCATGAGAAAGGACCAAAACATTACACCCCGTCCAACATTTTTCTATTTTTTTTTTAAATGGGCTTTTCTTTTTATCAGCACAGCTCCAGATACATTCTTACTTATCAACCTAGGGAGTTACCTTATTGATACAGTACAATTCTATCCCATCTCATGAGGTTTACTTCTCTCAGGTCTAAAATTTCAATAGCAAGTGGCTCGGGCGCACAGGATTGTGCCTATATTCTCCGTCTCCTCAGTTCCCATCCCACCTCGAGCACAATCTTGACTCACATGTGTGTTTTTACTTATTTATTTATTTATTTATTTATTTTTAAAATATATTTTATTGATTTTTTACAGAAAAGAAGGGAGAGGGACAGAGAGTTAGAAACATCGATGAGAGAGAATCATCGATCAGCTGCCACCTGCACAGCCCCCACCGGGGATGTGCCCCCAACCAATGTACATGCCCTTGACAGGAAGGGAACCCGGGACCTTTCAGTCTGCAGGCTGATACTCTACCCATTAAGCCAAACCGGTTTCGGCCACATGTGTGTTTTTAAAAGTACATGCTATCTAAACCCATGAATTTGTTTCCTCAGGATGCTACCCCACCATCGGCCACTTTTATTGGTGGAGAGCTGAGCCATTCAATTGTTATAGTGCCAACATTACAGAATTAGGCCCTTTGTTCTCCAGAATGGGTGACTTCCTAGTGCCAAACGCACACCTGCCGCATTCCAAATCCCCGCACGCTGCTGCGGTGGTGAAGGACACGAATGCTGGTGTTCCACCGTGGAGAGCTGAGCTGTTTCTCTGCAGGACCCCACCCTCCCTCCGGCGGGCAGCAATCCCCAGCTCCAGGGCCTGTGACTGCCCCGTCGGGTCCCACGCGTGGGCACGTGGCCGGGGCGCCGCGCCTCCCGCGGGCCGGGCCGGCGGTGCCCGCCGAGGGGGCGCCTCTTCCGGGCGCGCGGCGGGAACTCGAGGCCCCATTGGCCGCGCCGGGAGGCGCCGCGGGCCCGTACGCGCCAACGGTCTGGGTCCGAGGAGGCCGAGCGCCGGCAGGAGGGGGCAGGGCGAAGCGAAGGAAGGCCTGGGGGATCGAGAACGGGAAAGCAGAGCCAGGCTCGGCGGGGCGAGGCCCAGGGCCCGGGCGGCCGGGGCGATGGAGGAGGCGCTACTCTCCACCCCCATCAACCCCAACAACTTCCCCGCCAAACTGTGGCGGCTGGTGAACAGCCCCCGGTACCGCTCGATCCGCTGGGACGGCCGCGGCGAGGGGCTGCTCATCGACCAGCCGCTCTTTGAGGCCGAACTGCTGAGCCCTCCCGGGGCGGGAGCGGGCGGCGGCGGCGGCGGCGGCGGGAGCTCCGGGGGCAGCGGCGGCGGGAGCGGCGGCGGCGGGGGCACCGGGGCTGAGCCCGAGCTCTTTAAAACCACCAACTTCACCAGCTTCATCCGCCAGCTCAACCTCTACGGCTTCCGCAAGGTGGTGCTGGGCGGCCCGGGGGCGGCGGGGCCCGGGCCGGGGGGCGGCGGGCCGGCGGGCGACGGGCCGCTCCACCACTTCCACAGCCCGCACTTCCGCCGCGACCAGCCGCAGCTGCTCGTGCACCTCAAGCGCCTCACCAGCGCCAACAAGGCCAAGCTGGCGGCCGGCCTCAAGGTGCCCTGCCGCCCGCCCAACCGCTTCCAGAGACTCCTCATCACGTCGGCCTCCGCCTCGGCCTCGGCCTCCGCCTCCGCCTCGGCCTCCTCCTCCTCCTCCTCCTCCGTCTCGGCCTCCACCTCCACCTCCCCGCTGCAGCACCAGGAGCCGCCGCCCCCGGGGCCCCGGCCCGATCCGCACGGTGAGTCCCGTCTGGGCCTCCTGCGCCCTCGCCCACCGCAGGGCGCACATGGGCGCAGGGACAACCACCGCCCCTCCAAGTCATGGTTGCACGTCCTCGCCTTGGGGGGATCCCGAAATGCGCCCCGGGATCCGCTTTCTCCTGGGCTTCCCCAGAACCAGGTCACACAGCACCAGCGTTCTCACTGCCAGCAGCACCCTCTTCCCACCAGGGCTTCTTCCTCTGCAAAGCATCCGTAGGCATTCAGTCCCTTCCGTGTCCGCTAGCAGCCGCAGGCTCCTCTGCCTTTAGGCGCTGCTCTTCCTGCACCGCTTGCACGCCATCCTTCCAAAGCCATTTACCTTCCCCAGGCCTGTGAGCATCGGCAGTAAGGAGCCTTTTGTTGACGCATCAGGTCTGGAAGAAACACGGGTCTCCTTTGCTCTAATGGGAAGCAGCACGGGGATACGAAGATCAGGGTAGGAAGGGAGAGAGTTACAGCCAAATTTCTAAGGAAACCTTGGACCGTTTATATATACCAACCAAGGGAAAGTGAACAAGGTGCCCAGAGTGGAAGTTTGTCTTTGAAGTAACATGCCATCTTCCTCCCATTGACACAACTAAGAAATGTTGGAAGAAATGTTCTGACGAATAATCATATTTTGGGCCCCAACTGATTCTAGGACGATGACACATTGTTTATATATCTTAAGAGCCAAAGTATATTTCATGATTTAACCTGATATCATTCTTGTGTTAGGACGAGTTGGCTAAACCATCTTTCATTGTAGCTCCGTAGAGCTGATGCTTATTTTAAGAGGTTATGGTAGGACACATGTAAGGCAAAAGTGATTTTCTTTACAGTTGTCAAGTTTTCATTACAAAGAATTTTAGAAAGCTCACCTTGTGACCTTTAAATTGTTCACTATTGGACATAAGCTTTCATTATTTGAAAAAATTGTATTTAGAGATCTGTATTTACCAAAAGTTCAGAGATTGTCTCTGGTAAAAAATTATTTTATAAATTCTGATGCTTTTCTTCCATGGAGAGCGGCAATACTCCCTTTTTCTGGTTAAGGAGTCTATGAACTCCCAAGAAAGGAAAAGGATATAATATGGCGAAGTCATTCCTTAGCTTCAAGTAGGAGAGTAATAGAAACATTTTCAGCATGTTAACATAAACATTTCTGGGATACTTTTCAGTTATGGGAAACTTAAAAAAATGCACAAATAAAAGAACACTGTGTTCAACTTAATGTAAGCCAAGAGTTATGAATGAGGCAGCACTTTGTTCGTTTGGAATTTAGAAGATAAGGGATTAGGTTGTGTCTGTGGAGTTTAGAAGATAAGGAATTAGGTCAGAGTTCTAGTAACAAGTTGGAAAAATAACAGTGGAATAGGAATGTTCCAAAGGAATTCTGAAGGAATATTAAGCTACTTCCATATGGTGGCCATTGATTTTGGTGGGGAACCCAGTGGGGAAAGGCGGAGGAGACAGCACCATGGCGTACATTTGGCAGAACCTCTGCCATGTACATTTGTCTTTCAGGTTGTGTATCCGAGAGAGAAGAAAAAATACGTCCTTGAGAGCAATAGGATAACCACTTTATTTTTTATTTTTAAAATATTTTTATTGATTTCAGAGAGAAGATAGAAACATCAGTGATGAGAAAGGATCATTGATTGGCTGCCTCCTGCATGCCCCTCACTGGGAATCGAGCCCATCAACTGGGCATGTGCCCTTGACCACAATCGAACCAAGGACCCTTAAGTCCACAAGTCAACATTCTATCCACTGAGCCAAATTGGCTAGGCAGGATAACTACTTTAAACAAGCATATACATACATATGTATATAAACATAAGAACCGATTCTTGCTTACTTTTTTCTCTTCTCTGATTTTCGTTTCCCCTCCCGTATTCTAAACCCAATTGTATTCTAAGGATAGAATCCATTTTAATTGAGGGAACACAGGGGCTATCTAGGATCTGATTTTCTTCACTTCTATTTCAGTTGGCTAGCATTTTAAAGATTATTTGTTGAAAAACATGTAGTGCATACTTTTTCAGGATAGATAATATATCGATCCATATATATACCTAGATTATTGTAATTTTCATGAATTTCCTGTGTGTTTGTTTTTTTTGTTTTGTTTTGTTTTGTTTTGTTTTTTTACCATTCTACCTGTTCACACATACAGTGGAATGTCACTTGTGGATTGCCTACATAAGCTTGGTTCACTAGGGAATTGTGTTCCTAGTTTGGGTGGAATGTAATTCTAAGTTCAAGAATATTTGCCCAACTTTGTTTTACTTTAATTCCATGTTATAAGTCCTTGGCTCTTCTATTTTTCCTAGCCTAATTTTTATTCTGTCTGAATTGTCTTGGTTATATATGTCTGATTACACTGCTGCTACTTCTTTTTTTAAATATATTTTTTATTGATTTTTTTACCGAGAGGAAGGGAGAGAGATAGAGAATTAGAAACATCGATGAGAGAAATGCATCGATCACATCCCCCCACCGGGAATGTGCCCGAAACCAAGGTACATGCCCTTGACCAGAATCGAACCCGGGACCTTTCAGTCCACAGGCCGATGCTCTATCAACTGAGCCAAACTGATTTCGGCTACACTGCTACTTTTTAGTTTCCATTTTGCTTTTTGTGTTCTGCAATTTAGGCTTTGAAAGCTTTTCTTTCACGGTACAATCCTGTTTTAGGATCTAGTTCTCTTATCTAGATCCTTGAGCCAGCTTCCTTTATGCTTTTTGAGAATGTACTTGATAGGAAATGTGAGGATCACATGTTTTTCTTTTTTTCATTTATCCACTTTTATTATTTTGTTTTTAGTGGCAATTTTTAAAATATTGGTTGAAACTTTCTACATAAAGCCACATAAAGTTGAGCGTTAGATCATCTGTCTTTGCCTGGGGCTACCAAGCTCTTTGGAGGCAGATTTTGAACAAGAGACAATTTTTTCCTGGGGATTGATTAGTTTAGAACAGAAATTCATCCTGCCTTACATTTCCATAATTCTGGATTTAAACTTTGCCAAATATATCAAATTAAGCTGTCTGAAGACATATAGGTGATGATCTGTAAAGTTGGAATAGAACCCTCTGAGATTACCCTTAACAGAATAAATAAAAGCTGAATATGTTTTAGATTTTTATTTAAAAAAATAAATAGATTTGAAGGAATGTCCTTTGAATCCTAATGCGTCCTTATATTAGCGTCTAAAAGAAGGAAATATTTGGCCGTCACTCAGATTTTACCTTGATAGAAGTAGAATTTATATTTTAATTCAGACCTAAACCAGAAATTAAGAAATCAAGATAGAGAATTCTTTAATTAGCTGCTTATTTTATCGATAGTCTAAAAGTTTATCAATAGCTTAAACCTGAAGAGGGTACCAAAAGTATTAGTGAGCTATTGTACACTGTGCAGGATGTTGTTTTAGCACTGTTAGTGGTGGAAAAACAGCACCAGGTGCTAGGCCCATGGAGTGAGACCGGACCTCAGTTTAGCAACCTCAGTACTTCAGTTCTGGCTGGAAAAAATTCAGAATCAAGACTTAGGCTATAAGAGAAAGTTTAATTGGAAAGTCACAGAGGTAGAAGTGAGCCATAGAAGAAATGGCTCAGGAAACAAGTTACAGAGGCAAAGAAGTGCCCATGAAGTCTAGAAGGAAGAGCAAGGAAAACTTGTCTGGGGGAAAGGGTGGGGAAAGGCTTTAGTGCTCCAAAGAGTGTCCATCCTGAGCTTTTACCTGGAGATTTTAGGGGAGGATCTTAATAGAATATTCATTAGCTTTCTAGGTGTGTCTCCTCAGGGTCCTGGTGGCACGGGTAAGGTGGTTCATTAGTCAGTGCAGCCGGTTCTAACTGGTTTTGCTGCTTTCCTAGGCCTGGAGCTGAATGAAACACATCTGAGGCCAAGATGCTATTTCCAGGGGTTGGTGTGTAAAGGAGTGGTCCTGCAAGGACCATTGCTCTATGGCCTGTGACCCTCTGCACCTGGCCTATGGTTCCTACTCTGCTAATGCAAGATTGTCTACTACAACATGTGAAGTGTCCAGGAAAAGTCAAGTGTTGGATAGTTTCGGACTTTAGGAATGCCTATTGTAAAGAGTAAAAAATGTTTCTAGGTTTTAAAAGAAAGAATTGTTAACAGCGAGTTCAAGTGTGTGTGTGTGTGTGTGTGTGTGTGTGTGTGTGTGTGTGTATATATATATATATATATATATATATATATATGGAATTGCTAGTCAAGTAGCATAAAAACTAAATTTTGTTCTTTTAAGGAAAAAAGGAAGAGTAATATTTAAGAGCAATATCATTTAAATGCATTCTTTGGAACTAAGACATACCCCATCCTCCTCCCCCAATTAGGTTTAGAGCTCTTGATTTCCAGGGTTCCAGAATTTTTGTGTGTATATTGTATGTATTTGTTTATTGTTTACTTTCGGCATTATTGCCTTTTCTTTCTTTTTTTAATTACCTTTTAAAAGAGCTTATTTGAACAAAAAGTCAATTTGAATCAGGTAGGGCCAAACTACTGAAAAACACTGGCCAGGGCTGGGTTTTTAAAAAATAAAATCAATTGAATGGCATTTGTGAACCACATAATACATAAAGCCTTCCCAAGGAATAAATTAGACTAGCTTTGTTCAAGAACCTCATGCTATAAAATAAGTTCAGCTTGTAACATATTTTCTTTTTTCTCATTACATAGTAGTGCCCCTTTTCTCACTCATATCCACTTTTTAATTCTACCTTGCAAGATAAAAGAAAGCAAATAATCAGAATTTCTGGGTCTTCGTATATGGTTTTTAACAAATGAACTCTCTAAGTGACTCAAATGGAAATCAGTTTTTGAGAGCCACGGATATCTAGGAAGGGACACCACTAGAGATAACTCTGAAGAAAAAAAAGACCATGGAAATTATTGATTGATTTAAGGAACGAAAAAGAGTACTAAAAGCTTTCAAGCCTGACTTTTCTGCAAAGATGACCTTTTTTTAAAAGTATGTTTTTTGAAAATAATTTGAGAGAGAGAGAAACATCAATGTGAGAAACATCAATTGGTGCCTTCTGCACACATCCTGACTGAGATTGAGCCCAAATCCCGGGTATGTGCCCAGACTAGGAATTGAACCAGTGACCTTTCAGCGCACAGGGTGATGCTCAACCAACTGAGCTACACTAGCCAGGGTGAAGTTTATAATTTTAAAAAAAATTAAAAAATTGAAAGGAGGAAAGAAGATTAAATTAAATTAAAAAGAGGTTTGTATTATACTTCTTATTTGTTAACACTGATTTCTTTTATGTATATGGTCGAGCGCTTATCTTTGTGCCTATTATTAAGGTTCCTAAATTTTAAAGACAGAATGGGATTTTAAAGACAGAATATGATTTTTAAAACTTCTAGGAAGTAATTTACAGATTGGAAAAATCTGGGTCAGTCAATTGAGGTAAAAGGTAAGATGACTGAATAATTTATAAAAGGTTTTTAACATTGAATATTGATTTAACACTTGTTTTGATTTTAAAGTTTGGTCACTTTGTCTTTTATGACAGTCATATTGAAAGCCAAACAAAAGTTTGTCTGATTATTTCTTCAGCATTTTATGTGTAATCTCATATTCTGGATTCTGAACTTGTTTTTATAATACTTAATTTCTGTTGTGTTAAAGATGACTGAAAACTCAACGTGTCACAGGTGAAGAGTAGTATGCATTTGTTGGCTTTTGGTTTACTATGTAATGTAAAATTAGTAAATGTGCTCTTCCTCTTTTATGCAGGACCAGTGGCTGTAGGACAGTTCCATCGTTCATTCCGGCGCGATAGTCTGTCTCCTTATTCCTACGTATCAACTTCATCCCACAACCACAGTGCCTTTCCTTTGAAAGGTTTAGATCGGACCCCGATTCCTCCTAGAACGTGGCAGAACTCCCTTGGAATGCACCCAGGACAAGTAGAAACGCCCCCCACTTTTTCAGATAAAGGGGTTCCATTTCCTGTCCTGCAGAGGTTTCCAACTGAAGTTACCTACACTCTGCAGCCCAGCGCCACGTCCGTACACGTTCAGCAAGGTCCTCAAACAATGGTCAACTCCTCCCAAAAGTATAGTAACTACACACCCTCAGCACAATACTCCCAAGCCTACTATCCAACAGGTATGAGAAATTCAAATTCAATGGCTTCTCTTAAGGCACTGCTCTATAAGGAGCATTTATTTATATGTTTAAATACATTTCTGCATGCTTAAACAAAAGTACTAGGAATGTGCTCCTAAGAAATGTCAAAGATTTCTCATCAAGGCATATTTTTAAACAATATATAAAATTTAAAATTCCATTGGTGCATAAAGGTGTATGTTTTTCGTGAAATGTTTGTATCCTCAAACTGTTGTAGTAATGAAATTAAGACTAAGTACACTGGACCTTACTATGACTCTGTCCTTGGTGCAAAATTACTTTCTCTTTTTAAAGATATATACATACTATACATTTTATATATTTTTGTCTTTATAGGTGAGATCACCTCATAATGAAGTCATTTTAGTATCTCAGTAATGAAGTTTATTTAATAAAAGAGCATGCTTTCCAACTCTTAAAACTAAATTATATTCTTTTAGTAAAAACATGATGGTGTGGTTTAACAGTAAAGTCACAGCCAACTAGGATCTGGGGAATAGCAGAGAGGAGGACCTGACAATGACAACTGACTTAGAACTCAACCAGAGGCGTTGAAGACATACCGGTGGATCTCAAGCCGCTAACTGGGATCCTTATGACAGTGACCATCTGTTTAGCTTCGGGGGAGGGGTATCTTTTTTGGAGGGGGAAAGACATTTTTGCAAAGTAATAGCCTTACCATTTTACTCAAATGTATGGTCTATTTTGCAGAAGCAGCACAGTTGTAGTGTGTGTTTTATCATGTAGTGTGCTTTACGCAGTGATGAAATGGGGCAATAGAAACAAGACAAGGGTCAAGACTTTCAGAAAAGACCAGAGAAAAGAAAAGGGCTTTTTTTTTTTTTGCCTTATGAATTAAGATTCTAGGCAAATTAATTTACTCAAGATGTATTGATCTAGAAGCAATCTCTAGAGCAGTGGTTCTCAACCTTTCTAATGCCGCGAACCTTTAATACAGTTCCTCATGTTGTGGTGACCCCAACCATAAAATTATTTTTGTTGCTACTTCATAACTATAATTTTGCTATTGTTATGAATCGTAATGTAAATATCTGTGTTTTCCAATGATCTTAAGTGACCCTTAAGTGGGTCACAGGTTAAGAACTGCTGCTGTAGAGCCTAAGACCATCGGAAAACATAGATATATACATTACAATTCATTAACAGTAGCAAAATTACAGTTATGAAGTAGCAACAAAAATAATTTTATGGTTGGGGGTCACGACAACATGAGGAACTGTATTAAAGGGTCACGGCATTAGAAAGGTTGAGAACCACTGGGCTAGAGGTATTTGTTAGGTTATTTTTCTCAAGCAGAATGACATCAAAAGCTAAAATTAATTGGAAGGAATGTAAACTAGATAAGGGAATTACTAGATAAGACCTAGTATTTTTCCAGATTGTCAGCTACTTTGAACAAAAATATGTCATATTTAAAAACAGAAGATTGCTGAAACCGGTTTGGCTCAGTGGTAGAGCGTCGGTCTGCGGTCTGAAAGGTGCCGGGTTCGATTCCGGTCAAGGGCATGTACCTTGGTTGCGGGCATATCCCCAATAGGGGGTGTGCAAGAGGCAGCTGATCAATGACTTTCTCTCATCGATGTTTCTAACTCTCTCTATCCCTCTCCCTTCCTCTCTGTGAAAAATCAATAAAATATATTAAAAAAATAAATAAAAACAGAAGATGACAAATTTTATGTTGTAAGTTATATATCTTTTGTATAGCAGCAAATAGGGTCAGATTTTTATTAGTGAGTTTAACCCAATGTTTTAATAAACACATTAGGCATCACTATCTACATTAAAATTTTGGCTACATTTCCTGTATTCCCTTAGAATATATATATAGAAATAGTCTGTGTCTTCCTCACACTTGCTTTATTTTCTGTAGCCCATAAACTAGACAATAACCCTATGTCCTCGCCTTTTACCAAGAAATGTTTCTCTTTCCTAACTGCCTTCAAACCCTCCTCTTTAAACTTACTAGACTAGAGACTCAAAAGCTTCTGGAGAGTGGAAATTTGGAAACGCTGCATCAGGGAGATGTAGAAATGTGTTTGGCTTTCCAATTTGGAATTTTGGAGGTATTTTCTATGGACATATTAGATATTGGCTTCTATATTGCTATTTGTCCTACACTTAAGGTACAGATGGTTACAGTCCAGCTGAAAAGTCAAACTAGCCTGTATAATGTTTCTATGGGAAAATGTATTCCAAATTCCAATTTGGAAACTCCTAGTTCTAAATTTGTGAGAACCAGTTATATATTATCAGAAAAACACTATAAATAGTTAATATTATTCATTCATTACAGAAATACTATTTTAAAAATTATTATGATTTAGGACACATTATTTTAAAATATATATTTTTAAATATTTATTATTGATTTCAGAGGAAGGGAGAGGAAGAGAGAAACATCAATGATGAGAGAGAATTCTTGATTGCCTCCTACAGGCTAAAGATATTTTATGTTAGCTGAATATAAATTTATAAATTGAAAATTATTATATCTCCAAGAGTTCAAGGCAAGGACTAGGAAAAAAACATTAAAATAACAGGTAAGGCCCAGCCAGCATGGCTCAGTGGTTGAGCATTGACTTATAAACCAAGAGGTCATGGTTCAATTCTCAGGGCATATGCTCGGGTTGTGGGCTAGATCCTCAGTGTGTGGCATGAAGAAGGCAGCTTATCTATAATTGTTTCTCATCATTTATGTTTCTATCTTTTTCTCCTCCCTTCCTCTCTGAAATCAATAAAAATATATTTAAAATAAATAAAGTAAAATAACTGATATTTTGTGCTGATATTAAGTGCTGATATTTTGATGTATACAGTGCTTATGAAATAGAATCTTATTATCTGAATTTTTGTTTTGTCTTCTTTAAGAGGGATAATTGAAATGACTATAAAGTTTCTGAGGTTATGAGAAAAAGAGACCTTATGATGACTTCTAATACATAGAGTAGTTCTATGCTATAATTTAGGCAAAACTGCTTTGAACATTCTGAAGTACTTTATAAATAAAAAGTTGTACTGTTAAATACAAAAGACCTTCTTTGGAAAAGAAAGTGCCATAAAAATACTGTGCAAATACTTAATTCTTTCAAACTTTAGGGTAAGGAAGTAAAACTTAGTAAGAAATTTAATCAATAACTTAGTAAATATGTATTTATGAAGAGCATTCCAAGTAACTTTACCCAAATTAAATAGAATATTATTCTCAGAGGCAGGATAATAGAAGCCCAAATCCAGCTCTGAAAGCCCTAATAAATAATTTTGGAATAATGGTCATTCTTTTGAATCCTTTTTGAAGTGAACTATATGACTTGGGGGAGGTTTTGACTAAATTTTAGTAAAAAAAAAATCCAACTTCATTTAAAAAATACTTATGTTGAAACTAAATCTAGATCTGGCCTTTCTGTAGCATAATCAGTAAATTTTGAATTTTGTTATTTTTCATAAATTAATTTATCTAGTAAAGTCAAAACATTGAGCCCAAAAAATTGCCATCAGACTGACACATAAAATGAATCATCTGAATCATTTCTTACATTTTTCATTCCTCTCTTGAAGTGTCTGTTAGCGCTGCCTAGCTCATTTACATTATTTTCATTCTTATCACTCCTTCAAAGACAAAATGTTGTAGATTCATTATCAATTGACTCTTTTTACTTTTGTCTTATCTTGAATTCAATTTTTTCCCTATGATGTTATTTTCATAGTGGGAGTGAACATTTTTACCTTTATTATTTTTTTGAAAAAAATTTACCTTTAGATCATTTTTAGTAATCTGGCTTATTTTTCATTATTAGAATTGTTTTAAAAATGTAATCAACTCATGTTTATATCTGAAATAAAATCTTGCTCATTATTTTAGTTTTTCATCCTACTTGCAACTTAATGCTTTAATACTGCCTTCAGGACGACACTGGAAGTTTTTTATATAGAAAAATATGTTTTAGGATATAACACTCAATAGATTAATTTTTCATGTATTAAGGACACAGTTACATTTCTATAGCTAGGTTTTCGTATTCAATAATCTTACTGATATGCACTTGGCTTTGTTCTGTTTTGTTGACTATACAAAGCATGGGTAAGGAAATAGCCACTGAGGAATCTTTTTGGATTATCTATTCGTCCTTTTTTTCATGAGGTAACTTTCTACTTTTCATTGTTACTAGACACCTTAAAGGATATTCACTGTAATGCTGTTTTCTTAAATACCAAATCAATTATCAACTACAAATATTTTCTCTGTATATTCTATTTTATTTCTCCAAGAAATTTATTTTAAAATACACTTTTAACAACTATTTAAAATGAATAAACAATGGAGTCAGATACAGCAATATCAGAAAAAGAAAGCCAATAACCTTTCATTGCTTTATTTTCTTCTTTATTGAATTTATTGGTATGACAAAACCATACAAGTTTCATGTGTACAATCAGCAAAACGTCTGCGCACTGCTGGTGCGCCCTTCGCCTACAGCAGTCTCTATCTCTTCCCATTTTCTTGCCACCTCGACTAGCCGCCACCCCCACCCTCCCCTCTGGCTAATACTACACTGTTATTTGTGTATATATAATGTTTTTTTTTTAATCCCTTCACTTCATCGATTTATTTTTAATGAATCACTGATGGTGCCCTGATGGGTGTGAACCTGCACCTCTAACTTTTCTCCTGCCGCTAGGGGGCTAGGTTTTCCCCAGCTGCTGTTAAAACGCTAGGAAAAAAGTCTGGATTTTTTTTGGCAAACCATGCAGACCTCTCCTCGGTGTTTAACATATTTTTCAGGATATTTATGCTTTTAAATATTCTGGGAAACCAAATTCAGATCTATAACATTCTAATTGTAAATTTTTAAAACCTCCAAGGATAAAGCAGGTCATAATAGCCTGAATTTTATGTGACTTTCTTAGCAATATCTATATCTAGAGTTCTACCCATTATTTCAAATTTTTCTTTATTTCAAGTCTTAAATTACACATTGAGATGAAACCAGTTTGGCTCAGTGGATCGAGTGTCGGTCTGTGGACCAAAAGGTCCCGAGTTTGATTCCGGTCAAGAGCATGTACCTTGGTTGCGGGCACATCCCCAGTAGGGGGTGTGCAAGAAGTAGCTGATAGATGATTCTCTCTCATCGATGTTTCTAACTCTCTATTCCTCTCTCTTCCTCTCTGTAAAAAAATCAATAAAATATATTTTTTTAAAATTACACATTGATATAAGAAAATATTTATTTCTAGTATATATTTATGAACTTATAACATTTTAAATATCAGTAGTCAATAATGGAGAAATAGGAAAGTATTTCAATGTATTTTTTGGGCTTTCAAAGATTATAGAATGAGATTTTTTAGTAATTTAAAAATATATATTTTTATGGATTTCAGAAAGGAAGGGAGAGGGAGAGAGATTATAGCAGCATCAATGATGAGAGAGAATAATTGATTGGCTGCCTCCTGCACACCCCCTACAAGGGATCAAGCCCGCAACCCGGGCATGTGCTCTGACCAGGAATTGAACTGTGAGCATCTGCTCACAGGTCAATGAGGTGCTTACAGGTTGATGCCCAACCACTGAGCAACACTGGCCAGGCTATTTAGTAATTTTATTAGTGCACTAAAAATATGAAAAATTTGTACATAAAAAGAGAGTTGCACCTTGTAATAAAGACACTTCTAAAATGTTCAAGAAAGAGAAAAATAAAATATTCAAGAGAATTCTAGTAAAATATTACATTTCAGGAAGAAGGAAGATTAGGGAAGTATTGTGGGTTATTAAAGGGAACATGTTTTGGAGTTTGATCAGTGCACCTATCACTACCAGCTTTGTGACTTTTGGTGAATTATTTCATATCTCTGAGCTTTAGTTTTCTTAGTTTTATAAATTAATGGTACTATCATTCAATTGTTGTGTGAATTAAATGAGATAATATAGCACTAGTACAGTGCCTGTAACATGATAGATGCTCAATAAATATCATCCTCTGTTTAATTCAAAGATATGATATAATAATTGATTTTCATTCATTCTGGAGAGTCTCTCTGGAAAAGAGAATACAAACTATTTTTAAAAATATATTTTTATTGATTTTTTTTTTTTTAACATAGAGGAAGAGAGAGGGATAGAGAGTTAGAAACATCGATGAGAGAGAAACATTGATCAACTGCCTCTTGCACACCCCCTACTGGGGATGTGCCCACAACCAAGGCACATGCCCTTGACCAGAATCGAACCCAGAACCTTTCAGTCCTCAGGTCAACGCTCTATCCACTGAGCCAAACCAGTTTTGTCTTAACCTATTTTTAAGACTACATCTGTGAGTGTAACTATCCCAGTATAAAGAGTACAGACTTTTTGTGGTACCCTGCTATCAAGAGAAACTTTGGAAAATGTTTTGCTTTGTTTTTAGTTAAAATAATAGCACTGTTAGCTATTTATTGATTGACTGCTTACAGTATGCCAGTACTATTCAAGTTCTTTGTGCATATTAATTCATTCATTCCTCACAACAAGCATGTTAGGTAGGTACTATTAACATCCCTTTACTAATGGGATGCAGAAACTGAAGCCAAAGAGATTAACTTGCTCAAGTTTATGCAGCTATTAAATTTTTGGATCTTGCCAGGAATTGAACTGTGAGCATCTGCTCACAGGTCAATGAGATGCTTATAGATTTGTGGCTCAATTGGTTGACCATCGTCCACATACCAATAGGTCATCGGTTTGATTCCTAGACAAGGTACATACCTGGGTTGTGGGCTCATTCCCCACTAGGGGTGTGTGCAGGAGGCAGCTAACCAATGTTTCTCTCTCCCTCTCTTTTTCTCTCTCTGAAATCAATAAAGCACATTTTTAAAAAAATGTGTATAAAAAAAAAAGATAGTTTTGCCTTAGTTGGTTTGGCTCAGTGGATGGAGCATCAGCCTGCAGACTAAGGGGTCCTGTGTTCCATTCCTATCAAGGACACATGATCAAATTGTGGGCTTGATCCCCAGTGGGGGTGTGCAGGATGTAGCCTATCAATGATCGTCATCATTGATGTTTCTATCTTACCCTCTCTGAAATCAATAAACAAAATATATATTAAAAATAAAAATAAGGGGATTGGTTATTTTAAAAAATATATTTTAAATTTTGAATCTGGGGTCCAAAGCTAGGCAGTCTGATGCTAGGATCTGAATTCCTAACTACTTGTCATGGTTAAAACATTTTTTTTGCATAGATCTCACTGGATGCATTGTATAATGGTAGAAATGTTTGGAGAGTATTTCATACTTATTTTATCTTTAAAGACACATCCTTCTCCAAATGTGCGCTACTATTAAAATGATTGAAATAATTATTTTGGAATTCCAAATATATTCTGATACCTTCAACAAAAAGAAATTACATTTAATAAAAAATAAATGTTTGGTTAAAAAGGTACAAAAATATTTAGGTGCTAAGAAATTTATAAAAATAGACATGACACTTTTAAGTGACTTTTAAAATTGATTTCGTATCATGTTTTCAACGAACAATAGCATCTAACTGACTAAATACATTTTATTGCACCCACAAAGGAAAGCACTCTTTTCCAAGATAAAAGAGGGGAGCACCTTGAATGCTATAGAGGCTTATTTTAGTTGATGGACTTTCTATTTTGACTTTGTTCCAGCTGTGTTACAGTGCTGCTCTCCTTCAACCCACATGGACGCTCTCAGCAGCTGTGTCACTCCCACTGCCTCTACCTATGCACACTGCAACTACTTCCAGGTAAGATCTTGGAACAATGGACATACTCTGTATCAGGTGCAATAGTATTGACCTTGCAGAATTTCAAAGTGTAATTTTATCTTAATGAGTAACCACAGGTAAGCTGTGGATTATGGCCTCCGTTTTCTCAATTCTAAAAATAGTTGATATAAATGAAGTCTGAGGATTATTCTAGTCCTGCGCTGTCCAATATAGTAGGCACTAGTCACATGTGGTTATTTAAATTTAAATTAAATAAAATTTATTCCTCAATCATACTAATCACATTTCAAGTGTTCTGTAGTTTCATAGGCTAGTACTACCAAACTATCACTATGGATAGAGGACATTTCCATCATTAGGGAAAGTTAGTTGGAACATTTATTCTTGGCTCTCCCTTGGCAAAAGGAATACCAGGTAACTCTAAAAATATGTTTCACCAAATGACAAATTGTTTCAAGGTGGTGTAGATAATTACTTTTTTTTAAGGAGGAGAAAATGATATTAAAAAACGAGACATGTAAGTGGTGGTTCTTCAGCCTCCAGGTTGTAAACCATTACAATATATCGACCATTCATGTACTCTTACCAATACCTACAGTCCAACTTATGCATTTATTTCCAAAATGGCATCTGAAATTCTTTCCCTTTCTTTCCACTTAAAAATTTTATCTTTACTTCAATTAGTTTCTCATTATTTATTATGAAACAGTTGTTTTAGATTGCTATTTCTAGGATAAGATTAAATTCTATACTTTGTACTTTATGCTATAATTGCTTAAAGATTGGAATTATGTATTTGCCTTTGATATTATGTAGTCAAGATAGCTTCCATTCTTAAGAGAATATCTTACTAGTGGCATTCCAAAAGAACATTTCTTTTTTTTGAAAGTCTACATGGGATGTGAAATTATAGTCAGATTGTTATTTGCAGAGTATAGAATTGGATCAGGAGGGCTTAGTTGGACATTTAAAAAAAAATAGTCTCCTTTTTTGTTTTTAAATATATTTTTATTGATTTCAGAAAGGAAGTGGGAGAGAGTGAGAGAGAGAGAGAGAGAGACAGAGAGCAAGCAAGCAACATCAGTGTTGACAGAGAATCATTAATTAGCTATCTCTTGCACACCCCTTATCAGAGATTGAGCCCAAAACCTGGGCATGTGCCCTGACTGTGAATTGAACCATGACCTCCTGCTTCATAGGTCAGCGCTCAATCACTGAGCCACAAGGGCCAGGTTTAGTTGGTCATTTTTAAAAATTTAATATATCTTTATTGTTCAGATTAATCCAGTTATTTCTCTTTTCCCCCCCCATAACTTCCCTCTACCTGGTTCCCACCCCACCCTCTGCCCTTACCTCCCCCCCACTGTCCTCATCCATAGGTATTTGATTTTTGTCCAGCCTCTTCCTGCACCCACCACACTCCTTTCCCCCCGTGGATTGTCAGTCCACTCCCTTTCTATGCCCCTGATTCTATTAAATTCACCAGATTATTCTGTTCATAGAGTTTTTATTCACTAGAGTTTTAGATTCACTTGTTGATAGATATGTATTTGTTGTTCATAATTTTTATCTTTACCTTTTCCTTCTTCCTCCTCTTCTTACAGAATACCTTTCAGCATTTCATGTAATACTGGTTTGGTGTTGATGAACTCCTTTAACTTTTTCTTATCTGTGAAGCTCTTTATCTGCCCTTCAATTCTGAATGATAACTTTTCTGGGTAGAGTAATCTTGGTTGTAGGTTCTTGTTATTCATCACTTTGAATATTTCTTGCCACTCCCATCTGGTCTGCATAGTTTTTGTTGTATGGGTACTCCCTTGTAGGTAACTGTTTTTCTCTTGCTGCTTTTATTTATTTATTTATTTATTTATTTATTTATTTATTTATTTATTTTAATAAGTTTTTATTGTTCATATTATTACAAATGTTCCTCCCCCCCCCACCATTTCTCTCCTCCACCAGGTTCCCACCCCACCCTCTGCCCTTTCCCCACCCCTCATTGTCCTCATCCATAGGTGCACAGTTTATGGTCAGTCTCTTCCCATATCCCCCCTCCCCTTTTCCCCAAGAATCGTCAGTTCACTCCCCTTCCATACCTCTGATTCTATTATATTCAACAGTTACTATTGTTCATCAGATTTTTTTTTTAATTTCCTTGGTTTTTAGATTCACTTGTTGATAGTTACGTATTTGTTGTTCATAATTTTTATCTTTGTTTACTTTCTCTTCTGAAAGAACCCCCTTCAGCAATTCATATAATTCTGGTTTGGTGTTGATGAACTCCTTTAGCTTTTTTTTTTTATTAGTGAAGCTCTTTATCTGACCTTCGATTCTGAGTGATAGCTTTGCTGGATAGATTATCTTTGGCTGTAGGTTCTTACTATTTATCACCTTGAATATTTCTTGCCATTCCCTTATGGCCTGCATGGTTTCTGTTGAGAAGTCAGCTGACAATCGTATAGGTGCTCCTTTATAGGTAACTACCTTCTTTGCTCTTGCTTCTTTTAATATTCTCTCTTTGTCTTTTGCTTTTGGAATTTTAATTATGATGTGTCTTGGTGTGGTCCTCTTTGGATTCCTTTTGTTTGGAGTTCTGTGCGCTTCCTGGACTTGTAAGTCTAATTCTTTCACCAGGTGGGGGAAGTTTTCTGTCACTATTTCTTTCAGTATGTTTTCGATATCTTGCTCTCTCTCATCTTCTGGGACCCCCAAAATTCTGATGTTGGTTCGCTTGAAGTTGTCCCAGAGGTTTCTTACATTATCTTCAATTTTCTGGATTCTCTTGCCTTCTTGCTTCTGTGGAGGAGGGTCTTCTGGCTCTTTATGTTCCAAATCTTTGACTTGATTCTTGCGATCTTCCCTTCTGTTTTTAGGACTCAGTAAAATATTTTTTATTTCAGACAATGCATTCTTTATTTCTTGTTGATCCCTTATCATTTCTTGATGACTCCTTATTAATTCTAGTTGATCTCTTTTCATATCCTCATAGGTCTTAGCGATCTTATCTAGGAAATTCTTGAAAAACCTTATAAGCGTAGATTTGAACTCTATATCCAGACGCTTTTTGTCCTCCATTTCTTTCGTTTGTGATCTATTTTGTTGTTGCATTTCACAGTTACAGATGGGACGGGGTTTCAGGGTGGAGCCTGCAGCTTTGGCTTCCGTCAGCCCCGCCCTATGCGGGTCCTTCAGTGCTCGCTGCCGGCACCTCTGAGAGAAAGGTGCCCTCGATTTTCGCCTGCTGCCAAACAGTCTATGTTCTCCCCCAATGAGCCCGGTATTGGGGTTCAGTTCAGTTGGAAGTGGAGTTGGAGGTGGTGTTCAGAGCAGACTGGAGCCCCAGTCTCCTTCCGGCCAGGGCAATCCTGTGGCACAGTCGACCGTCCCTTCTCTGCGCGCAGTGTGCGCGCCTCTGGGACCTCCTCTCGCCGCTCCCCCGGGGTTCCGCCTTACATGGATGAGCCTAGGCCCCCGGGGTCTGGCCTAGGACTGGGGTTCAGAGCAGTCGGGGGCCCAGCACAGTCGGAATTTTATCTCCTTTCCGCTAGGGAACGCCCGCCAGGCACTCCACCTCCCCCTCCTCTCTGGCTCTGTCCTCTCCGTGCGCTGCGCGTCTCCGTACCTTGGGCTTTTACAGCTCCTCCGCACTTCCTTCTGGTTTTATCCTTGCTTCTTGCTGTAGAATTTCCAGTCAGTCAACTTTCCTGTAGTTCTGGGTAATGTCGGTTTTATATTTTAGTTGTATTTTATTGAAATTGTTGTGTGCGGCTGCGGCTAGGTGTTTACCTGGGCGCAGCCCTCTTGGATCCCCCTCTCTTGCTTCTTTTAATATTCTATTTTTGTCTTTTGCTTTTGGCATTTTAATTATGATGTGTCTTGGTGTGGTCCTCTTTGATTCCTTTTGTTTGGGGTTCTGTGTGCTTCTTGGACTTGTAAGTCTATTTCTTTTACCAGGTGGGGGAAGTTTTCTGTCATTATTTCTTCAAAGATACTTTTCAGTATCTTGCTCTCTTTCTTCTTTTGGCACCCCCATAATTCAGATGTTGGTATAATTGAAGTTGTCCCAGAGGCTTCTTACACTATCTTCATAATTTTGGATTCTTTTTTTCTTTTGCTTTTCAGGTTGAGTGTTTTTTGCTTTTTTGTATTTTAAATCTTTGACTTGATTCTTGCAGTCCTTTAATCTGCTGTTACGTCTGTGAATAACATTTTTTATTTCAGTCAGTGTATAATTTCTAGTTGGTACCTTTTCATATCCTTGAGGGCCTCACTAAATTTATCAGCCTTTTCTAGGAAATTCTTGAAAAACCATATAATCATGGTTTTGAACTCTAACCAGTCGTTTGCTTTCCTCCATTTCTGTCCTTTGTGATCTGTTTCTTTGTCTCCGCATTTTTACTGCTTCCCTGAATTGGTAGAGTAGCTTTGTGTGGTAGGTGTCCTATAGGATGCAGTGGCTTAGCCTCCCCAGTTACCTGAGGTGGACACTCTTGGTGCATCCCTTTGTGGACTGTGTGCACAGTTTTAATATAGTTAAGCCTTGATTGTTGTTGGTATTACTGGGAGAAATTGACCTCCAGGCCAATTGGCTGTTTCTACGATGGGAGAATTTCTGTGCTGGAGACACCCTTATGAGAAAAGACTTGAAAAATTGCAAAAGCCTCTGTGCTCAGGTTGGATCTGCAGAGTATCAGGGTGGAGCAGACAGCCTTGGCTTCCCGTCACCCCTGCCCTATGAGGCTTCCGAGTCTCAGTGTCCGGTGGTAATTGCTGCAAGCACCTCTGAGAGAAAGGTACTCTCAAGTTTCAGCCGCTGCCAGACAGTCCAGTTTCTCCCCGAATGAGCCTGGATCCCCAAGTCTCTCCCAGAACTGGAGTTCAGCGCAGTTGGGAGCTTCCATCTCCCTCCCGCTTGAGAAAGCCAGCCATGAACTTAGCAGTCAATACTCCCCGCACGTGCGCACCTCCAGACCTCTGCTTTCCGCAGCTCCCCTGAATTTCAGTGTGCTTTTATTTCCTTCTAGTTGTAAAATTTTTACTCAGCCAGCTTTCCTGTGGTTCTGGATGATGTTCGTTTTATCTTTTAGTTGTAGTTTTGAAATTGTTGTGCGAGGCAGCAGTTTAGGTGTTTTACCTATGCCACCATCTTGGTTTCTCTCTTTAGTTGGACATTTTTCATGGAAGATATCATCAGTCTTGATAGTCCAGTCTATTTATCTTTATTGGAATGACATAGCTGTCACACAAATTGGATGTTCTTATTTGTGAATCCAGATACCCTTCTCCCTGAATCATACTGGAGATATTCTAACAGTATTCATATCTTGATTATGTTAGTCTTAAATAAGTTAAAACATCTTTAAAGATTTTTTCTTACTACAGGACAATGCATGTTTATTATAGGAAAACAAAGATAAGTAGACATAAAATTAAACAATTAAATTTACATTATTTAGCATTAGTGTTCTTTATTTTAATTTAATTTTTAAATATATATTTTATTGATTTTTTACAGAGAGGAAGAAAGAGGGATAGAGAGTTAGAAACATCGATGAGAGAGAATCATTGACTGGCTGCCTCTTGCATACCCCCTACTGGGAATGTGCCCACAACCACAGTACATGCCCTTGACCGGAATCGAACCTGGAACCTTTCAGTTCGCAGGCCAATCCTCTATCCACTGAGCCACACCGGTTTCGGCGGCATTAGTGTTCTTTAAATTATTGACATAGTCTTTATAGTGTGTTTGGCAATATTGACATATTACATGTTTTTTTTAATCATAACTCTTCTGTATTCCAGGTTTATAATCTGAGATAATCAGCAAACGTTTATTGAATGCCTATTCTGTGCAAAGCTCTACATTTGGCAATATCAATTAATTACGTTTTATTTAATAATTACTTTTCAGTATTTTATATCATATCTTGAGATCATTTGTCACCAAACATGTAATTGAATGCATATTCTGTGCAAAATACAATGTATAAGAGAATACATCTTAAACATCAATCTAGAAGTGACAGCTATTTTGAAATTTATTTTTATTAAAAACAATCTCAGGAACCAAAGGCCAGTCGATATTCCATCCATTTTTTTCTCAGATCATTTGGAACAGTACCTCCCCTTGAATCTATAGAAGCCTTGGTGGACTTGTGAGCATCTTATGTTTGAAATTTTCTTACTACATTTCTAAAGTAGTATATGACAGATACAAGTATATAATAGATACAAGTGATGTTTTTGACTGCCAGCCGTTATGGAAGAACTCAATATATAGACATTTTATCAGCAAATTAGGTTTTTGGGTACTATAGCTTTTTGATTTTGTGTACTTTAACCCTGAGAATGATTGATTCATTCTAGTATTAAACTTAGTATAGTGGTTGACATATAATAGTTGCTAAATAAATGTTGAAAATAAAATTGAGGCTATCACTGCTGAAAAGTTGATTAGTGTTCAAGTTTTTTTAGTAAGCTTTAAGTTTAATCTATTTATGTTTAGTATTCATCAGTCTATATGCTGTTTCTTTCCTCCTTAACCTCATATTTGATTTTCTATCCAAACAGTCCTATTTTCTCTTTTCCCAGAATCCTCCAATGCCATCCTCCTACCCAGTTGAGTTTCTGCCTCCTAATTGGCCTTGTGGTTCTACTGATGAAAATAAAAAGACAGAAGTAAACCTAGAGGCTGTTTTTCGGATCTTAGATGAATTGCATTCCTCCCCTAAATTGGAGATGGTAAAGGTGGAGCCTGTTGAGAATCAGTGCCCAACATCTCAGTCTAACAGAGGCCAACATATCCTAGCTAATTCAAGCAATAACAATCCGTCTTCCACAAGTCAGGCTAGCCAGCTGGAGCCACTTACTCCTGTAGGTTCAGATATTACATCTTTTGTGGTCGGAACAGAACAAGCAATTACCTGCTCTCTACCACAGTCACCTGAGTACATGTATACCATCCACACAGCTCAGCCTGTTGAAAATACTACAATGCAGGAATCTGCAGCCATCCAACAAGCTCATGTCAAACTGAAGGAGCAGCTAAGTCATAATCCATCTCCACCTTCAGTAGTATTTGTGCAGGAAGGGCTACCGTTTAGCCCACACCAGGTAAGGGGAAAAGAAGAAGTGCTAATAAGGCTTAAAGTACCTAGTTTTCTTTCTGTTCTAGGGGAGAGTTTGTTCCGGTTTTATTTGGGTTGTGCTTCCTAGGACGATCCTGAACCAGTGGTTCTGCACAAAAGATTCAGAAAGAAGTAATCTTAACTCTCAGGCCTCTTCTCACTATGTTGTGGTCTGAAGTCAACCTCTGGAGAGCCAGTCTGCCTGAACACTGTGTATAAGACTGACTTACAGGTTAAAAGCATTCCTTGAGTTTTGCTTCCTATCTTAATTTGAATGGACTAGGTATGCTTGGCTGATTAAGTTCCACTACTCAAAAGGGATGGTTTATCTGACAGATAATATTAGGACTTCCCAGCCATATGTAGCATGGAAATAAGGAGATGGTTGGAAGTCTTTTTATACTTTCTTATAGCATTACTGAATTCTAAATGACTAGTGAGTACTCTGAGCTTCCTTACTAATATCAGCATTCCTAAAGCAGGATTCTGACTCTAGTTTGAGAGACATATTCTCAAGATAGAGGCTAATTCTTGACCAGAAAAGAGTAAACTTCAATTTTAAATTGTTCTAAATTTTAAATTGAAGTACATATAAAATATAGAAAGAAACTTATACCTCCTAAGCAGGGCAGATCTAGATTTTATAGGGACTGAGAGCCTGTTGAAGACAAATAATACAGAATTATAGAATAAAGTGTCCTCACTGATATCCAACAGGATTATGCTTATGGCCATTGCAGTATAACTAACCAGAGGGCAACCTGATGAAAGGGGTGCTAGACTGGAAAAAGATAACCTTAACCAATTGTAAATTTTTTTGTATGTGTGAATTTTACAAAAAAAAAAATTCTTTTGAATAAGTTTTGTGTTAAAATTTCCTCTGAGTATAAGTAAATGTTTTGATTCCACATGCATTTCAGCAGTTTGTATATGGGGAAATATACATTTTACTATTGAATATTCAGATTAAGTCAACAAAATCAAAGGTAATATAAGGCTGTTTACAAGCACATTTGATGGGTCATGATTCTATAATAGAACTCCTCTGATAATTTGATAGAAATTCAGAATAATGCGTGGGTTTAATATTTTAGGTGGATGCCAGTATAAAATGCCAGACCAATCCACCTGAGAATATCTTGCCTTCAGAACAGATGGGATTCCTTATTTCAGAGATGGGGCCTGCTAGCAAGCCTAGTAAAGACACAGATTTATCCACTCCAGTCAGATACAGGGAGCGAAGAAGCAGCTCACAGCAAGGAAAGTCCCCTGGTAAGGATGATTGTGCTATAGAATGTTAGAAGTAGAACCATGAGGTAGAATTAATATATGAACAACACTTTTTTCTGGGTCATTATTATTTATTAATTGCATTTCAAATCTAAAAATAAAAATAAAAAGCCAAAACCAGTTTGGCTCAGTGGATAGAGCATTAGTCTGCGGACTCTGGTCAAGAGCATGTACCTTGGTTGTGGGCACATCCCCAGTATGGGGTGTGCAAGAGCAGCTGGTCGATGATTCTCTCTCATTGATGTTTCTAACTCTCTATCCCTCTTTCTTCCTCTCTGTAAAACATCAATAAGATATATTTTTTTAAAAATCCAAAAAAATAAATTAATTGCATTTTACTTATTACATTGCTATTTTACATAGCTGTAATTTTAACTATTTTTCTTAATTATCCTTGTAAAGTATATAAAAGGTTTTTTTTAATATTTCATGTAAGAATTTGAGCTTTCAAAAAGATAGAACATATTAAGTAAAAGCAAAGGCTCTTTTTTTTAAAATTTAATTTGGAGAAGGCAAGGATGAAGGGTGATTTCATAATTGCTTCTGATTCCATAGACTTTATAATTTTAGTTGTACTCGTTTTCTTATTAACAGGCTATAGGATAAGAAGGAAGTGCTTAAATTATGGCAGGAAAAAAAATAGATGAACATTAAAGACATTATCCTGAGCATATTATAAAGATAGTATAAAGTATGGCTCTATCAGTGGGATTGTTTCTCTTACAGGTTGTAGGAGCCCAGAATTAATGATTGTCTTAAGGCTGAAAAGTTGTGAAATATTGGCAATATTATGACATTTAATTACACTTTCATTTTATTAGGGTCAGGGAACTGCCAAACTGTTTTTTTGTTTGTTTGTTTGTTTGTTTGTTTTTGTAGCAGCTGACCCATTTTACATTCCCAACAGCAATATGCAAGGCTTCCCATTGTTCCACATCCTCCTAACACTTTTTTTTCCCCTCTCTAACACTTGTTATTGTCCACTTTTTATTATTATTGTAGCCATCCTGCTGGGTATGAAGTGATTTCTCATTGTGGTTTTGATTGTATTTCCTAACGGCTAATGATACTGACTTCTTCTCATGTGCTTGTTGACCATTTGGAGAAAAGATAATTTTTTGACAACTATTATATTGACAACTATGAAATCTTCTCCTGTTTTGGTTAAGTTTCTATAGCAGTTGGTAAACTATGCTCCATAGATCAAGTCTAGCATCTGCCTGCTTTTATGTGGCCTGCATGATAAACGTGGTTTTTACCTTTTAAATGGTTGGGGGGAAATCAAAAGAAGAATATTTCACGACACACACACATGATATGAAATTCAAATTTCAGTGTTCATAAAGTTTAATTGGAACACACAACCACAGGCATTCATTTGCATGTTATCTATGGCTGTTTTTACACCAGAATAGCAGAGTTGAACAGTTGCAAAATAGGCCAGCCATATAGCCCACAAAACATAAAATAGTTAATATTTAGCTCATTACAAAAAAAGTTTGCCTGTCTGTGTCTTGTTCTGTTCAGGCTACTATAACAAAAATACCATAGAGTAAGTGGCTTATAAACAACAGAAATCTATTTCTCACAGTTCTGGAGGCTGGGTAGTCTAAGAGTAAGGTACAGACAGATTGGTTGTTTGGTGAGGGTCCTGTTCCTGGTTCATAGATGGCCACCCTTTTACTGTGTCTTTTCATGGCATCAGGGACAAGGGAGCTCTCTGGGATTTCTTTTATAAGGCACTAATCTCAGTTATAAAGGGCTCCATCCTCATGCCCTAATTACTTCCCAAAGGAACCATTTTCTAACACCATCACATGGGGGGTTATTTTTCAACATATAAATTGGGCATTTAGTTTATTGCACCTTGTATTAGAAAGCCTTTGTGCTTAGCTTCTGATCTTTCCAAAGCCCTGATCATTGATTACCAGAGAAGCCCTTGAGAGAGTAAGAAGGTGCTTGTGGAGAGTTCACAATGGACTAGAATTCAGTTTAGTTCTTGTAGATACCCTAATGTTTTTTATTACCCTAGTTCAGTGGTCGGCAAACTGCAGCTCCCGAGCCACATGCGGCTCTTTGGTCCCTTGAATGTGGCTCTTCCACAAAATCCCACAGCCTAGGCAAGTCTATTTTGAAGAAGTGGCGTTAGAAGTAGTTTAAGTTTAAAAAATTTGGCTTTCAGCCGAAACCGGTTTGGCTCAATGGATAGAGCGTCGGCTTGGGGACTGAAAGGTCCCGGGTTCGATTCCGGTCAAGGGCATGTACCTTGTTTGCGGGCATATCCCCAGTAGTGGGTGTGCAAGAGGCAGCTGATCGATAACTCACTCTCATCGATGTTTCTAACTCTAACTCTCTCCCTCTCTGTACAAAATCAATAAAATATATATTTTTAAAAATTTGGTTTTCAAAAGAAATTTCAATCATTGTATTGTTGCTATTTGGCTATGTTGACTAATGAATTTGCCGACCACTGCCTTAGCTGGTTTGGCTTAATGGATAGAACATAAGGCTGACTGAAGGATCCCAGGTGTGATTCTGGTCAAGGGCTCATACCTCAGTTGTAAGCTCGATCCTCAGCCCTGGTTGGGTGTGTGTGAGAGGCAACCAATCGATGTGTCTCTCTCACATCCATGTTTCTCTCTGTCTCTAAAAAACAAACAAACAAACAAACAAACAAAAACAATGGAGAAAACATCCTCAGATGAGGAATAACCAAAACAACAAAAAACCCCACCAATGTTTTTTTTATTTTGATAGATACTGAACTCCAAGGATAAATGATTAAATAAATGATAGGAACCAAATATAAAAGGTCTCAAGTATCACTTGAATTTCAACTATCACTATCATAAGAGTAATGATACTAGTGGAGCTTCAATAAGGTTCCAGCTCTCACCCTGGCAGAAAAACTCAGTTGATTAGAATGTAGTCCCTATATGCCAAGGTTGTAGGTTCAACCAATGAATGCATAAAGAAGTGGAATAACAAATCAAGTTTCTCTCTCCCTTCCTTGCTCTCTAAAATAATATAAATAAATAAATAAATAAATAAATAAGGTTTCAGCTCTCATAATACATCATATGATATTTTCACGAAATCACCTCTAAAGACTTATTTGGCTCCAGACTCTGTTACTCCTTCTAACATTAAATGTGGGGCTGTCATTATGTTGTTCAGTATCCCGCTGAACAGGAGCATTCTGTATTCCAGAACTTATCAGATCCCTTCTATAACTGGACTGTTTTGAAAATATTCTCTGTTTCGATAGGGGCATCTCCTCATACTTCCAAGATTTCTTTGACTCTTTTTTGAATAAGTGACTTCAATTAGGTTTATATCCACATTGTGTTGATTTCAGTAGACATGCATTTTGTTAGAAGGATGTTGTTAATCAGGCATTGCCTTCTTTTGGGCACATTTTGACTTAAGGAAATAATTTACGGATTAAAAATACCAAAAGTTAAAGCAAATTAGACTTAATCATGTACCTCCAATTTCTATAATGATATTATCCTAAACTGAATGTACCTAAATAATAATCTTATTATGGAAGCTACACTGGCCTGTATTCTGATGGGATATTTATAGTTAAGGGAAACTGAATGTTTAAGAGTAAGGTTCAGTTCATTCCTGAAGAAAGAAATTTTGTGCCTGTTGAATTATGGGTGAAATTTCATTAAAGTAATAGCCCCAAGACCCTGGAGAGTGCTTACAGTAAGAATTAACATTCCCAAATAAATACAATGTCCTTGTCCCTCAAGGCCTTTCAGCTCTCAAACCAACAGGTGCTGTGATTCCCAAATACTTACCTTCTCTGATGAGTATGCAAGGTTTTCTTCTGAATGAAATCATACCGTTTCCCTGAAAATAAGACAGTGTCTTATATTAATTTTTGCTCCCAAAGATGCGCTAGGTCTTATTTTCAGGGGATGTCTTATTTTTCCATGAAGAAGAATATGGTACACATTTATTGTTAAGTGAAAATAAAGGAAATTTATTACCTGTATACGGTACGGTAGTATGGTAGTTGTCAACACAAACCAGACAAACTGTGAATCCTACAGTATCAAGAATTTACTCATTTATTCAATGACAATCATGTCATCATCTTCTGGAACATCATCATAACAATCCAATTCCTGAATTTTCTGGTGAATTTCTTGCGAATTCATTTCTTTCAGAATCAGTGGACCAAATCTCTCATGTTTAGCTTAGGGGGGCCTTATTTTCGGGGGGATGCCTTATATTTCACTCAGAAGGAAACGTGTAAGTAGGTCTTATTTTCGGAGGATGTCTTATTTTCGGGGAAACACGGTATATACCTCTACTAGCACCAACCTGATTTATGACTTTTTGTGTTTTTATTGGTCTGTAGGTTCTAACTCTTTGATTGGTAGCTTTGCTAATTAAGGAAACACACTTTAATAAAATTATTATGTTTAGATGCTTGTTATTAGAAGCTGTGTGCCAAATGCCAATCACTGAGGCTTAGAGGGTTTGTTGCTCACACTAATTTACATAATTCACATCAAGGCTGTTATAGAGCCTTATATCTACTGTTATTTTAAACATGTCTATCTGTGATATGCTCTTGTCCATAATTTAAACCTATCAATTTGATAAAGTCTTAATAAGTAGTTAAATAAATGACATTTGTTCACTGAAAAAATAATAGAGTTTGTTGCTTTTGTCCTTCAGCCTGCCATTGCATAGATGCTTTAATAGTATTTACTTTTCTCATTATCAAGAATTACTACTCTGCTTTCAAAGTTGGATTACAATGGAGTCTATTCATATTCCAAAATCTTATGTTAGTATTTTCCATTAGGATATGCCTGTCCTTTTTATCTGATGTTGAGCTGAAGTGTAGAAAATGATCATAAGTAGGTGTTGCTCCTTCTACATCTTTTGGTCAGCTTTCAAAATATGCCACTCTGGCTGGTTGGAGCACCATCCTGTCCACTGAAGGGTCATAGGTTTGAGTCCCACACCCAGGTTGAGGATTTGATCCCCTTGCACTGCGTATACGTGAGGCAACTGACCAATATTTATCTCTCACATTTTGTTTCTCTCTCTCCCCCTTACTCTCTCAAAATCAATGAAAGCATGACCTTGGGTGAGGATTTAAAAAAAAATCCTGATACCTAGGTTGCACTTTATACCAACTAAATCAGATTGTATGGGGTAGGAGACATGAGCATCAGTATTGTGTTTTTTTGCTTTGCTTTAGGTTTTTTTTAATAATAAATCTTTATTGTTCAGATTATTAAGTTGTTCTTCTTTTTCCCCCCATAGTCCCCTCTACCTGGTTCCCACCCCACACCATCCCATGCCCTTACCACCCCCCCATCCCCCGTCTTCATCCATAGGTGTATGATTTTTGTCCAGACTCTTTCCACACCCACCACACCCTGCCCCCCCCCCCCCCCCCCCCGTGGATTGTCAGTACAATCCCTTTCTATGCCTCTGATTCTATTATATTCACCAGATTATTTTGTTCATAGAGTTTTTATTCACTAGAGTTTTAGATTACTTGTTGATAGATATGTATTTGTTGTTCATAATTTTTATCTTTACCTTTTCCTTCTTCCTCCTCTTCTTACAGAATACCTTTTAGCATTTTATGTAATACTGGTTTGGTGTTGATGAACTCCTTTAGCTTTTTCTTATCTGTGAAGCTCTTTATCTGCCCTTCAATTCTGAATGATAGCTTTTTCTGGGTAGAGTAATCTTGGTTGTAGGTTCTTGTTATTCATCACTTTGAATATTTCTTGCCACTCCCGTCTGGCCTGCATAGTTTCTGTGGAGAAAGCAGCTGATGGTTGGTCGTATGGGTGTTCCCTTGTAGGTAACTAACAGTTTTTCTCTTGCTGCTTTTAATATTCTCTTTTTGTCTTTTATATTCTCTTTTTGGCATTTTAATTATGATATGCCTTGGTGTAGTCCTCTTAGGATTTCTTTTGCTTGGGGTTCTGTGCGCTTCCTGGACTTGTAAGTCTATTTCTTTCACCAGGTGGGGGAAGTTTTCTGTCATTATTTCTTCAAAGATACTTTTCAGTATCTTGCTCTCTTTCTTCTTCTGGTACCCCCATAATTCGGATGTTGGTATGCTTGAAGTTGTCCCAGAGGCTTCTTACACTATCTTCATAATTTTGGATTCTTTTTTCCTTTTGCTTTTCAGATTGAGTGTTTTTGCTTCTTTGTATTTCAAACCTTTGACTTGATTCTTGCAGTCCTCTTGTCTGCTGTTGGATCTCTGTATATTATTTTTTATTTCAGTCAATGTCTGCTTAATTTCTGGTTGGTCCTTTTTCATATCCTCGAGGGTCTCGCTAAATTTATCAGCCTTTTCTAGGAAATTCTTGAAAAACCTTATAACCGTGGTTTTGAACTCTATATCCAGTCGTTTGCTTTCCTCCATTTCTTTTCTTTGTGATCTATTTCTTTGTCTCTGTATTTTTGCTGCTTCCCTGAGTTGGTAGGGTAGCTTTGTGTGGTAGGTGTCCTATAGGATGCAGTGGCCCAGCCTCCCCAGTTACCTTACCTGAGGTTGACACTCTTGGTGCACGCTTTTGTGGGCTGTGTACACAATTTTGTTATATAATAGTTAGGCCTTGATTGTTGGTATCACTGGGAGGAATTGACCTCCAGGCCAATTGGCTGTGAGGATCAGCTGTTTCTACAATGGGAGAACTTCTGTGTTGGAGACACCCTTCTGGGGCAAGACTTGCTTCAGTGGGGCTTTGGTGCTCACTGAGTCTGTCCCGAGTGTGTCCCTTATAGATTGCTTGGATGGGGCAGTCTCATGGCAGAGCAAACAGCAATGGCTTCCCATCAGCTCTGCCCTAAGAGGCCCCTGGGCACTTCTTTCCATTCTTAATGAACCAACTACTTTTTGCCTCCTGACCTCTGTGAAGGGTATGCTATTTTTTTAAATAGACAGTTCAGATGTTTTTATAAGGGATCAGCTATGTTAGTCAATAAGTGAAAAATTTATGGGGCATGCAACTTTGGAAAAGTAGTAATTACCTATTTTAATATTTTATTTCTGAAGGTATAACTTTTTCATATTCCCACAACCCACCCACCTATTCTTATAGCATCAAAGAAATGAACTTTCATGTCTATTTTTCAGTTGATCCCTTTGACACTTTTTCTTAACTTTTCACCTAGAATTATAGGCATTTTAAATGAAAAAGGCTTGGCCACATCACTAAAGGGATAGAAACTTGAAACTTTGTTTTGTCTTGTTGGGTTAACAAATGGGCTGCATCTGTGTACTTTAGAGGTACAGGGTGCCCATAAATGGAGAATCTGATAAGATAACGATTTAAGTCACATAAGCAACTTGTTCTTCTTGTCTGTAGACTTGTCTACTGAACCCTACAGTTTGAGAGGCTAAGAGTAAGTAAACAAACCTTTCTTTCTAGATCTTCATCTGCTGGTGGATGTGGCCTGCAAGCAAGAGCACTTTCCAAAGGAGGAAGAATTAAAAGAGTGAGGCACGGATGACACGTGACATTGTGCACTAGCTGTAGCTGGAAGCAGACTAGCCTTGCACATGACATACTGTTGGGATTTTTTCAGTTCTGTTAAGGAAAAAAATATATTTTTGTTTTGTTAATTGAGAATTTTGTTAATTGGAAACTTGGTATTTATTACAGCTGTTCAGTTCAGATTATCTACCTTGACAAACTACTAAACATCTAGCAGCCATTTTTTTTTTGTTTGTTTTTTTGCTGCTCAGATCCCTTTCAAATGAAAAGTCCTGGCCTTCTGTTACAATCAAGAAGCATCTAAAAACTGCTGCATCTATGGTACTGGAGGATAATGTGTGTATGTGTGCTGGTTTGTTATCTTGCTCCTCTCAAATTATGGTCAGCACAACTCCAGTGGGGACTTAAGTCTATCTGTTTCAAGTCACAGTGTGATTCCTTTATTAGAGACATTTGTGTGAAACACAAAGGCATGTAAGGTCACCAAGACCACAGGTCTAAATGGTTCAGGAATTCCAGGGAAGAAACTCTGGGAAAGAGCTAATTTTCTAAGTGATTAACTAGGAAATGCTCTTAACTTTCTCACCCAGCATTCTGTTTTCAAGCGCAAGGCATCCGGACTTGAACCATCCATCACACTTAACAGCTCCTACTTATTTTATATTTATGGGAGCATTCTTCTATTTTCGTATCTTGCTTTAATTTAAAAATGGTACATTATTATAAATTATAAGGTTTTGTTAATATATCACTTATTTAAATGTCTCCTAAAGAAAAGTATTCAACTGGTTTAATATATTTATAAATGCTGGTAGGTTTTTAACGTTTTAAAGCTTTATATTTTTATTAATATTTCAAGATAGAAGGATAAAGGACGCATGTGTAATATTTTTACTTTGAGGGGGAAATGTGCAATGTGCACACAAAAACATTAAGAGATTTAACACAGTGCTTTCTTATTTTAGATTTTTTTACATCCAGTAAGTATAAATTATCATTTATATAAGAGATTGTGTACAAATTTTGGGAGAAACTGATTAGTTGTCAGTTAACAGAAGCTTTACCACTGATATTTTTAATAGTTTATGTTTGTTTTAGGCTTCTGAGAGGACTTTGGATAGTGGAATATACGATGACATTTTTATCTTGTCCCTTCTGTAGGATTCTAGATTCCAGTAGGATTGTGGGACTGGTTTTTAAGAGAGGTATCTTGGTTATCCACTTTCTGTGGTTGATCCCTCAATTGTTCTTCCAAGGACAGCAGGAAACTTTCTGATTTAACGTCTTTGAAATTGACTAGAACTTTCTTATTGAATTCTGCTTTAGTTTTCCTAATAAGCACTGCAGAAACAAAAGGAAAGCCTAGGAATATGAAAATAATAATTAAAAAAAAAAACGGGCTTGGTGATATGGTAAGAGTACTGTGTTAACATTGTGGGTATAACAATTCATTAAATTGCATTGTGCCTTCCCAATGATGTCAAACCCTAGAAGTGTTACAGAAATAGTAGGTTTTTGTTTGTGTTTTTATTAGAGGATGATCTCTGTATGGTGACTCAGTTTGATATGAAAGTAGTTTCTGAAGAGTAATCTATTTGTTTCCAACTGATTCTACAAATGGATATCTATGTAATGGGCATTTATTCAACTTTATTAGCAAGGTTTAAAAGATGAACAGATTATCAAGATTCTTATATCTTTTGGCAGAGTATGTGAAGAGGAGACCCAATTTCTAAATGAAGGAACTTTGCTTTTTCTCTGTCATGTTGAAAAGCCAATATACCGTGGTGATATTTCTTCCCTCAAATATGCCTTTCTTAGCTTTGTATATGTTGAAGGAAATAATATCTTTTGAGGAACATGTGTCAAGTAGGAACCTTGGCATAGATTTGGTTTCAGTGGTTTTAAGGCTTAATAAAATGAAATATTTTTATCAGCTTTCCAAACTTTTTTCTGTATATGAATACAGCAGACCAAGGAGCTAGATCTCCTACTGTCCTCACATGCCTGCTGCCTATCAACTAAAGCTATCATCACAGACTTCGGTAAAATGGAGAAAGATAAAAATAAAATCTTTGTGTGAATTAGCCAGTAGGGTCTGGCATATACTAAAAGGTTCCTGACTAGCACTCAGTGTTTCAGCACCTTTAGCATGATAAATTTCAATCAGTCAACAATAAAGTGAGCATTTCAACTTGACTTGTGTCTTGATTGTTTTTACTGTTTAATTAGTGATTATTAGAAACCTCAGTCATTATGACTTTTAATCATAATAATAAAGTTCAAAAGAGGAAGTACTCTTTTTTAAAGAATCTGACTTTTTCAGAAAATGTGTACTGGCTTTTTAAATTTAAAATTTGCACTTGAATAGAGATTTTTTAAATTATTATTATCTGTGTACATATTTTACATTGCCTCCCCCCACCCCTCTGAATAGAGATTTTTAAAATGCCATTAAGGATAAGGACAATTCATTCAAAAATATATTTTTTTATTGATTTCAGAGAGGAAGAGAAAAAGATAGAAACACCAATGATGATCAGAGAATCACTGATTGGCTGCCTCCTGCATGTCCCCAAATAAAGATGGAGCACGAAACCTGGACATGGGCCTTGACTGGGAATTGAACTATGACCCCCCTGTTCATAGGTTGACGATCAACCACTGAGCCATGCCAGCCAGGCAAAGGATAAGGACAATTCTTGGCCAAGTTTTAGAACCCTAGTTTTTTGGAAGAGGATGCATGGTCTTTAGTAACTGTAGTCCATCCAGATGTGAAAGTAGATCCCGAGGGAGGACGACTTAGATTAGGTGGTTGAAGTCAGGGAGGTGAGCGTTTCATCACCACAGTGGTGGCATCTCTGTCAACCCCCGAGGGAGAACTCCAGCATTTAAAGCCAAAGAATTTATCTTGCTTGTCAATTCTGGTGACATAAACACAGTATATCAGTGAACTAAATCACATAGAGCTGTTTGGCTTGATCCTGGGTATCTCAGGGTACCCAGGTTCATGATACATATTACCATCATTCCAAAATCTTGGAGTTTCCTTAAAAGAGGGCGATCATAGCTCTAACTGGTTTGGTTCAGTGGATGGAGTGTCAAACTGCGGACTCAAGGGTCCCAGGTTCAATTCTGATTAAGGGCATGTACCTTGGTTGCGGGCACATACCCAGTAGGGAGTTTGCAGGAGGCAGCTGATTGATGTTTCTCTCTCATTGATGTTTCTAACTCTCTATTCCATTCTCTTCCTCTCTGTAAAAAATCAATAAGATATTTAAAGAAAAAAAGAGGGCAACCATATTTATATTTTTTTCTGCTTTCAACTAAATGTATGTCTGAACTCTTAGGCTTGATTCTCTTAATTCCTTTGTAAGATTCAAATAGAAATAAGTGAGGCAAAGCCCATTAGTAGCTTACTTTTTGTTTAGTTAACTTTCAATATAATTTGGCATATGTCATATATAGTAATGTTTAATTTGCATTATTTATGCTTTACTATTATATGGCATACATAAAATAAAAATATGAAACCATACCAGACTTTATTTTTTATTTTTAAAGTTTTCAGGTATAATACACAAAAGCAAAAAAGTTTATCTTAAAAAATATCAAGTATTACATCCATAGTCTAGTCCTAATTATAATTACTTCTTAAAGCAACATTTATCTTTCTTTACAAATACAGCAGCAGGTGGTAAGACCTAAAGTCTCAAACACATTGCTTACAGTTCATAATACAAATAAATGTATATGTCTCAAATCATATTTAAGGCAGTTTAACTTAAAATGCATAGACAATTACATACATTAAATTTATTATTAAGTCAATGAAAAAAATAACGTCAAGAAAAAAATACAGAAAATCTTTATAGAGCTCAAAGAAATCAAGTTTACTTAGGGCAAATCAAGTTTACTCAGTATCTGCTAATCAATGATAGGCAGTGAAAGTGCCTTCATCCAGGGAAAGTTAAAGAGGAAAAACATCCCATTACTTTGCATGCTTGAAAAGCTATACTGACAAAACTATAATCTTGGAAAACATTAACTTCTTAATTTAAAGAAAGGTATAGTGCATTTTGCTCTTTAAAATACCCAAAGGCTGGTCTATAATTTCCACCAGTAGGAATACCAAAATATGTTGATCTAGGTTAAACTAATAATGGGCCCACTAATGAATTCCGTAACGCTATCCCTAGACTGGGGCCCTCTCAAGGACAGGCATTCTCTTTCATGTCTGTGTCTCTGTATCTGGCAAAGCACTTGGATCACAGACATTTAAGTGCCGATTTCTCAGAAATATTCTATAGCCAGAAGATTGCATGGCATTTCTTTAATACTGATTATTTTATTGGTAGTTTTTATTTTACTTGACAGAATTCTGAAAATAAACAGTGTCTTCATACTGAACATTGCTCTATTAGAATTAAATTAGTCTTCACTGAAACCACTCACCACTTTCTATGCATAGGGCAGTGTGTCAGTGTGATTAGTCTGAATTTAGCCTTCTGCTTTTCAAAAACATTTATCAAGGAGCTGGAGGAGAGGACCATGGGAGAGCTCAAGGAGAGTAAACAGCAAGGGCCAGGCTGGCTTGAGCTCTCCAATATGACAGAGTAACCAGACTATGATTTGGAGACCTTTGTCAACAAGGCAGAGCCTGCTCTGGCCCAGCAAGCCAAGCACTTCTCAGCCCTGCAGCTAGAAGAGCAGACCAGCAAACAAATAGGCAATAAGAAATGACGACTGCAAATATAGATGTTTGGTTTTAAAAAAGAGGGAAGGCAGGGGAGGATGGGTGGGTGGAAAGAGATAAATCAATGAACTTGTGTGCATAAAGGCATAACCTGTGGACAGGGGCAATAGGGTGGTGAAGGCCTGATGTAGGGGGCAAGGGAGGGCTAGGAGAGGTCAACGGGGAAGAACGGGGGCATATGTAATACTTGCAACAATAAAGATTTTTAAAAAGTAAAAATAACAACCAATAAAAATATTTTTAAAAATT